TGTGTGTTGTTGTTGTTGTTTTTTCCTGGAGCTGGAATCATCAGTCAGATTTTTTGGGTCTAAATTCTCAAACATGATATTTTTCTGTTTTAATTTGTCTGATTTATTTGGATGTAAATTCATTTTCTCTTCTCTGCTCGTTAAAATTTTTGGTTCTGGAAAATAAATTCATGTGAAAACGGTTTCAGATTAATTATTAGATTAATTTCTTTAATTCATTGAAGCTCTTTAAACATCCTACAGGAAAACAGAAGGAACCAAACTGGACCTGCCGCGCTCCGACTCCAACAAACAGAGGACCTAAAGGAAAACCTGGAGGCAGACCCACCAAACCTGAGCCTGGTCTTACACCAGGACTAAACAGACCCCTCAGAGAACCACAGTCCCATCACAGCACCGACCAAGACCACCTACCACAAAGATCTCAGATCAGCTGATCACACCGATCAAACATCCTCATCATGCTCTCCTGATCACTTCCTGATCAATCACAGAGTGACCCTTTAAATCAGACCGAGGAGGAGACCCTCAGAGTCCAGGACCAGAGTCCAGGACCAGAGTCCAGGACCAGAGACTGAGCCGCATGATAAAGAGTCAGAGAGGGCCAGGGTTCAGGTCTGAGAGTGAGGTTTATAAGAGAGAGAAACAGCTGAGAGGAGGATCAATACACACACACACACACACACACACACACACACACACACACACACACACACACACACACACACACACACACACACACACAGGCCTCTGTCTGCATTGATTCCTCTCTCTGCCCCCCTGAGGATGCAGAACTACAAACAGTCTTTCATGCAGATGGATCCAGTCTGAGTCCTGGTCTGAGTCCTGGTCTGAGTTCTGGTCTGAGTGAAGTTCAGTCAGAATCTCGTTTCTTTATCTCGACACCAACTTCGAGTCTAACCCCCAATTTCCAACCGCATCCGGAACAGCGATTTTCTCTGTCCGCCAATTCCTACTGGATCTGTTTTGAGGCGAATATCGTGGCGGATTACGGACATCAGGAATCGTTAGAACTCACAAGAACCTGCAGATTCACGTCCAATCTCACGATAACGAGTTGTCTCTCTAAAGACAGACACATAGACATATAAGCAGTAGATTGTGTCCTTCCAGAGGAGGAAATCTACTTCTAGACTTCTAGAATCAGCATCTCCTCATCCATGGTGTCATCGGGGTGAAATGACGTCTAAAAACCTTTCACTTGTTCGTCTCCGCCCGTTTTGAAAGAAGTCGGTGTAAATTGACACGTTAACTTGAATGGTTACGATCAGCTACGATCGGAGGATACGACCTTTTAGGAGACCATCAGGATGAAGGTGGAAATTGAGGGTTAGAGGAGGAGTCAGGTTTTTGATGCTGGCGTCCCAAAGTTCACTGAGAGCTTCACTGACTCTGGTAGATTTCATAGATGCAAAGGTGCAAAAATGAACTTCACCAAGACAGAATCAACCCGTAGATCAGAGGGTCTCAGCTCCATCCTGATGGACTAATGAAGGTCACTTTACTACCGTTAATCCTGATCCTTCAGCAGGTCCTGGAGTCACACAGAGCTGCTGTTTCTGCAGTAACATCTAGAGTCGGTCATCGATCAGGTCTTCCTGTTTTCACCCTACAGCAGCGTTCTACCTTCTATCACTGAACCTGCTCTGACCAATCAAACACAGTCAGGGGTCAAAGGTCAGATCTGTGGTCTCCTGGACGTGACCCAAACACACACACACACACACACACACACACACACACACACACACACACACACACATATGTGTAACAGATGATTGCGGCGTTCCCCCTGAGCTGCAGAGCGAGGTTAGCGCTGAGTGTGACGGTCTGAGAGCGATGAAGAATAATCACATTATGACGCTCAACCAGGAGACACCGCCGCAGCATGGCGCCGAGTTTGTGTGTGTGTGTGTGTGTGTGTGTGATGTCCCTGCAGCCCTGCGGCATGCTGGGAGATCCACACAGCTGCTGTAATCCCCCAGGTGACGAACACACACTCACACTCACACAGACTGAGTCAGGCTCCGCCCCCTGGTGTCAGAGAGCTGATGATGACGGCGCGCTCGCTCGCCTGCAGACACAGCAGCTGTTTGTTTACGCTGAAGGTGATGAGGATGATGAAGATGATGAAGATGACGGCGTCTGCGTCTCTGCCTCCTGGATATCGATGACTGAGCTGATGATGATGAGGTCGTGTTGACATGACGACAGGACGATTATTGATCCGCTCAGATCGGTTTCACTCACACTGACCGTCTCTGAGTTTATCCAATCAGGAGGAGGCAGAGCTGCTGATGTCACAGCGAACATACAGATGTGAGCCGTCACACTCTTCAGGTGGTTTTCTACAGGAACCAGGAACCTTCTCAGGAACTCTGTGGACCGTCTCAGTTCCTGATCTGATCTACTGACACACGTCTGCTCATAGAGTCTCTTTCAAAGTAAAAGCTCTCCATTAAATCTGCTGAACTACGCCCACTCAAGGAGTCTTTTCAGAATAAAAGGTCCTGATATATAGAGTTAATATCAACAAGACTGCCCGTAGTCTTTCAAAATAAAAGCCCCTGATTATTCTGCTGAAAATATGTTTTCTCATATGGTCTCTTTCACAATAAAGCCCTGATCAAATCTGGTAATAGTCTTTTCAAAATAAGAGCCTCAATGAAACGACTGGAACAACATATGCATAGAGTCTTTTAACAAAATAAAAGCCTTTGATTAAATCAACTGAAACGTATCTGATTGTAGTCTTTTTCAAAATAAAAGCCCCTGATAATTCTACTGAAAATATGTTTACTCATATGGTCCCTTTCAGAATAAAATCCCTGATTAATTCTTGTAATACCACACACAGTCTTTTTCAAAATAAAAGCCTTTGATAAAATCTACTGAAAATGGTTATTTGTAGTCTTTTTCAAAATAAAAGCCTTCATTAAATCTATAGAAATCACATCTAAAAATCAGTTTAATTTTCAGAATAAAAGCCTCGATATAGACCTCTGAATAAACATATTCTCACAGTCCTCTTCAGAATAAAAGCTCCTCATAAAATAAAACATGTCTGATTAGCAGTAAATGTCAAATTCAGTCGGTAACAGGCTGGTGAAGATCGTGAAGTTGGACTTCACAGATCTTTGTACCCTCATGATTTCTCAGGATCAGAGATTCAAACTCAGACTGAGACGGACCCGCTCTACGATCAGAACCAAACAAATAAACAAACACGCGGGTTATAATCAGAGCAGCTTTAAACACTCTCTCTCTCTCTCTCTCTCTCTCTCTCTCTCTCCATGGTGCTGATGATACCTGGAGCGTCGTGTTTATCAGACACACAGAGCAGCAGCAAAGGAGCCTGTTTATAGGAACCTCAGTCCCAGTTTGGAGTTTAGGAACTAAATATTTACATCAAACTCTTAAAATCACAGATTGTGTCTTTAGTGTGCCGCTTCATTTTTACAGATTAGTCGATTTATCAGTCTGATACACAAACTGTGTGAGCGCAGAGGAACGCAGCGAGCTGTGCTCTAAAGCCTTTTTACATCTATATCCTCAGAAACTGACTGAATATAAACGAAGGTTTACACTGAAATACACAGTCGGGGTTTAAACTCTACAGTTTTATCTCTACAGAGGAAAGAAAATAAACTCTATAAAAGATATTAAAAACTATAATCTCTGGACAAAACCAGGACTGGATGGTTCTGATCTTCAGGGCATTAAAAGCAGACAGGACTCTGGAGTGGAAGTCAGCGCATGGACTCAGAATCACTTCAGATACCATCGGCTGTGAACACAGATCATCAATATAAATATAAATGTTTTGGTCGACTATACGAACAGCCAATGAAAAGGGGAGTTTCTCCGGGTCTGAACCAATCATGTTCTGAATTAGAACCAAGTATCAACCAACTGCAGCGTCGTAGCAGACAGCAGCTCCACCCAACCATAGCACTTTAACAGGTGAAGCCGACAGCACTGTTGGTGAGAAACAAAGAAAATGAGTGCTACCCCCGACAGAAATGACCATGAAGGCTCAACAGATGACCACATCAATGTCAACCACAACACTGGCGTTAGGAAAACGTCGGTGGTGTGGAGGTATTTTTTCTTACTTTGACGATCTAACATGTGACGACATATGAGCTCAGAGTTATTGTTATTCAGACTATTGAGCTAAGCTAGTTAGCAACTGCTAATGTCAGCGGTCACTTGTTGCTATGGCAATAAGCGACACCGTGCTTCCTCTACCCAAAATGCACTGTGTATAGCGTCATTACGTACATTTGGTCTTGTGTTTGGTCCGCTGAGCTGGTCCGTTTAGAGCGAAACAGCTCTTGGTGTGAAAGTGACCAAACTTTGACTCTCCAACGCCGCAGAGATCTTTGATTCTAACCTCTGAGGGCTCCAGATGTATACAGAAATAAGTCTGAAATAAGTCTGAGTATAAACACAGTAACACACACACACACACACACACACACACACACACACACACACACACACACACAGACTAACACTGACAGGTCGTCAAGGTGACTTCACACCAAGGACAACCTTCTCCTGCAGAGCTGATCTCCATCACACACACACACACACACACACACACACACACACACACACACACACACACACACACACACACACACACACACACACACACACACACACACACACACACACACACACACACACACACACCTGTGCTCATTAACTCTCTACACAAACTCTTCTTCTCTGTAAATGAACCTGTCCTCTTCCTCTTCCTCTTCCTCTCTAGTCCAGGTGAGAAGCCGCACGCACGCGCTTTTACACTTTGAACTGTTGAACAAAAGGTGAACGCACGCGGACACATCCGTCCTGTCTGTCATTATAAACACAAATAAACACACACATTCACGCACACACACACACACACACACACACACACACACACACATACACATACACGGCATCATGACACACTTCACACCCTGCGCGTGCACGGTGAGCTCGCTATGTGATGGACCGAGAGCTTCACGCGCACCAATCAGCAGGCTGACAGCGCGTGCCATCGTTGGAAGAGAATGGAGCTTCTTACCGGGAACCGATCCGCCTGATGATCCGGACTCTCGGGGACGATCAGACCCGGTCCCGGTCCTCGTGGGGCTGGACAGTCCGCGCGTGTGTGTGTGTCCCTCTGTGTGTGAGAGAGAGTGCGTGTTTCCGCTCAGGGTCTCCGGTACATCTCCGCGCGCGGACACACCGAGCTTCTTCTTCTGCCTCCGGTAGGACGAAACCCGGGGCGCGTCCCCGACAGAGAGCGCGTTCACGAGGACCGGGTCCGGGTCTATCAGCGGGCACCGGCTGGAGGAGAGAAACCGGATTTAGATTTTATTAAAATTAGGATCAAAATAAAGATTTAAATGAAATAAAAGAGAAAAGATGAAGATAAAGATTAAAAATGAGAAGATTGATCATGTTCCTCTCCTCCTCCTCTCACAGACTCTCTCTCTTCTTTCATTCTGAGGTAAATTCATAAAATCATCATCTGTGTTTATTTTTATTTTCTCTACAGTGACTGAAATAAACGGAGGAAGGGTCGTTATGAAGGCTGCAGCGCCCCCTGCTGGACAACATTAACCCTCAACTGATTCAAACCCTCATTAGATTAATGTGTTTGTGTTCTAATCATGAATATGATAATAATGATAATTGTATATATATTAACTGTATCCGTGTTTCAGGAAAGATAATTATTTTTAAAATTATTTAAAAAAAAATGTTTTTAAAATTGTTTTAAAAAGAGAGAAAAACAAAAATTAGTGATGTTTGATGTTTAATTAATCCATGACTATCCAAGAGAAAAAAAACAGTTAAAAATGTTTATGAGGTTAAAAACTGTAAATAATAATAACAATTAAACTAAAATGAATAAAGCTAATGATTATTAAAAAGACTGAATTGTGTATTTGGCGCCATCTGCTGGTGAGTTCAGGTCACTGTTACCTTATTTGTACCTGAAGGTTTGATTAGTTCAGCAGAGATCTGATCAAATCCAATAAAAGAACAACATGAAACTTTAAAATAATCAATAACACAAAAACACAGTAGGGGAGACCGGGGCAAATGTAACTACGGTAAAGTATGAGGGACATAATAAAGACAATAATGGTTTTTTTTAAGTTGTTCTGTCATGAGAATAAAATACATTCATAGTTATGACAAAAAATAATAAATTTGTAATAAATTGATAATGTTAAGAGAATAAAGTCATCATGTCCTGTTAGGAGAAGTGTGCGGATTGTCCCTTTAACTTGTATCAGGACGTAGACAGAGCCACATTAATGTCAGTCTGTTTAATAACCTGCAGTACACTCCTGAAGGGGGCGCTGTGTGTAGTGACTGAGTGTAGTGACCATGCTGACCTGAGTTTTAGTCTCTGTCTGGGTAACAAAACAAAACCCAAAGAATAATGTTGATAAAATGTCTCCAACACTGAGTCATGGACTCCTTTAAGGTCTCAGCTCTTTTTTTCTGGTAAATGAAGTTTAAAGTTCAGGAAATAAAACCATCATCAGAATTCTGAGGAGGTAAAAACTAGAAATGAGATTTCCTGGAACATTTTCAGAGACGAGCAGAAAGTCCTGAAGGGTTCGGCTCTGCTCTGGTTCTTCCTCTGACTCAGCTGGTTTCAGTTTTTCTCTGTTCAAACCCGTTCAGCCTGTTCAGGGACTCAGACTCAGGAACTTCCTCATAATCCTCCTGGACCTCCTGCAGCTCTTCGATTATTGTTCTAGAGTTCAACCAGGACTTTCTAAAACCATCAAACCTCAGAGTGGAACATGAGGAACTCTGAAACCCCCATCTGCTGTCTTATTGTGTATGAAGTGAATGTAAAGGTCAGACTGAGGTTACACAACAGTCCGGGGGAACTCTCACATCCAGGTCTGTGTCAGGTCTGTAGGTCAGGTGATAAGACCACAGCAGGTCCACTCAGACTCAGACTCAGATTTCCTCATTTCTCCAGAGTCACAAACCAGCTGGAGATCAGAGACCTAAACCTGAGACCAGATGATGGTGCTAATAATAATAATAATCATGATAATAATAATAATCATGATAATGAGGATGATAATAATGAGGATGGTGATGATGAAGACTATGATGACAATGATAATGAAGATGATGATTATAACGAAGATTATAATGATAATAATGATGATGATAATAATTGATTATTTCTTAAATTTCTTTTTTTGTTTCTTGTTTTTAGATTTTAAACCTCCAGTGTTTCCCTCTCTTGAATATCAAAATGTTGTTTCCTCCTCATTGAGAACGTTCCTGTTTCTATGAAATCAAGAACTTTTAAGTTCATGTGTTTTAATTCATGTTTCTGATCTTAGATGGTTGGATTGAAGGGTTGGGCTGATGTAGATTTGGGTTTTCTTTGTTTCTTTTATTCATCGGCTGTGAAAAACACTGTTCTACATGTTTTTTCTATGAAAACTGTTATAATAATAAAGACTGATTGATTGATTGATTGATTGATTGATTGATTGATTGATTGATTGAAGTCCAGGGTTCTGACTCTGAAGGTAGTTTGGTTATAGCAGCTCTGTCTTTAACTTTAAACTTTAAGTAAAGTAAACTCTCTCTCTCTCTCTCTCTCTCCGTGTGTGTCTCTGTATGTGTGTGTGTGTGTGTGTGTGCATATATATATAAAAACTCACGCCGGTTTTTCCCTGACTCAGCAGGTCTGCAGGAAGTGGATCGGGTCAGACTTTCCTGCCCTGGTTGAGAATTTCCGAAGTGGGAGTGGTCAGTCAGCAGGGGGCGGTACCGGGAAGTGGAGTCTCTGTGGAGTTTCGTTTTCAGACTCATACATCTGTTCCTGTCTGCAGGTGAGGACTCGGACCGTCTCTGGATGTCCCCCCTCGGTCTGAAGTCTGACCCCCCATGTCCGTCATGACGGAGGCCGTCCTCCTGGACCTGGTCCACGGCTGCTGTCCCTCCTGCACCGGCGCGGCTCTGCAGGAGGACTCCGTGTCGCACCGGCGGCAGGTCTTCCTGCTCCGCGGGAAAAATCACCTGAACCCGGACAGCCTCTCTCACCTGAGCGCGTGCACTGCAGGCAGCGCGTGCGTCTTGGACTCGGAGTCCACGGTGGAGAGTCTGATCCGGTTCAAAGAGACTGTAGACCAGCAGGACCTGAGCTCCATCCGGGTCCTCACGTCTCCTCGGGGCAGAGAGGTCCTGCAGGTCTACCAGGACCTGCTCTTCACGGCCGTTTACACCTTCAGATACTCCCTGATCCACCATACCTGTGAGGACTGCACAAGCCCCGCCCCCGCCGCCTCACCTGCTGACGTAGAAGAAGAGGTTTCCAAGTTTCTGCAGAAGGTTCCTGGTCTGAGAGGAGACCTGAGGGTCCTGAGGTCTTCACTGATACCAGGTCAGTCTGAGTAAACACGGTCAGGGGTCTTTAACACAGTCAGTACAATACTTCACAGTTATTCAAGTCATAATTATAATAATTATAATAATAACAACATGTAGTCAAAAAGCACATGGAAAAAGATAAAAACAAACATTTCAGTTCAAACAAAATTAAAGGAACATTTTCATGTCAGACAAGAACCTGTTTTAATAAAAACACAACATAGTTAAGAAAAAAGAAAACGCAAATAAAAGGGGGTCAAAAGAGGAAAAGTACTTTATATTTATTTAAGTTTCTTATATTTAAGGGAAGTTATAATTTAAGGGAAAAATTTACTTGAATCTAAATTTAATTCAGACAAAGAGGAAGAAAAGTTTTTGTGTTTCTCTGGAGTTAAAGTTCAAACATGTTTACACAGTTTAAAATGAGAACTAAAGAGACTTTTATTTTGAAGAGGTACATAGATGAGGGAGGTGTTGGGAAGCATTAAGTGTTCTGAGGTTTTAGTTTCTTTAGTTTTTGTTTCTTGTTGTATTTAGTTTAGTTGTTTTACTGTGTGTGCTGTATGAAGTGGAAGTAGATTTTGTTTTTAATACAAAGTCATAAACGTACTTTATTGATCATAATTATCAGGTAGATCTAAACGAGCTGAAAGGAAGCTCGGTGTGGGTAATTATTATTTAAAGGGAAGAGGTGGGAGTTTATAAGTTATTCTTCTTTTTTGAAAATGTATTTTTATGTTTAAATGTTTCGCCTTACTTTTCTTGTTTTATTTTTTATATTTTTGGTTTGCATATTCGAAAAAAACTTCAATCAATCAATCAATTAATCAATCAATCAATTCAGGTTTGTGTTACTGGAATAATCTGTACGGTGGCCGAGAGACGCCACTGCTGCAAATAAAAAAGAATGGGGGAAAAAAAGGAAGTTAACGATGCAAAAAAAAAATGATGTCGCCCTCGCCGTCGTCTCCTGTGTCGTATCGGTCCCCAGCAGCTCACTTCAGTTGTGGCTTTTTTTAATTTGCATCCTTTTATTTTTACAGTAAGATACTTTTTTTTGCCTCAGTAACTTCCGTTGTTCTTTTTTTTTGTTTGCAGAAGTAAACAAAGTTATTCTGAGCAGTAAATCAGTTTCCCTGAAAAATAAAATAAATAAATGATTTTTGTTTTTCACGGTTCCTCCATCTTTCTGTCTCTCAGACTCCTTCGGTCACGGCTTCAGCACCCGTGGCGGCGGCGTCTCCTCCATCTCCACCATGTCCTCGTTGAACCTGTTCAGCAGCAGCAGGAGGCGGGACTCCCGGGCCGTGGTGACGGAGAACAGACGCCGCCTGGCCGTCCACGCCGGTTTTCCTGCTCAGCAGCTCCGCCTGGTCCAGGTACGTAGACCGGATCAGCACAGTCAGCTGATTCCCTGTCATATTTATCATATTTCATTTTGTGTTTTATTTTGGCGGTTTCTTCTTCATTTGTGCTCATAATCAGGACTAAAGACTGGAAACGTGCTTTTATTTTGAAACAAACAGGAAGTAAATCTCTCGCCTCCTTCAGGTGAATCACGCCAACGACGTTTGGGTTCTGGGTAAAGAGGAACCTCAGAGTTACGACGCCATGGTCACAAACCGGACTGATGTGGTTTTGGCGGCACCGGGCGCCGACTGCATGCCCATCCTGTTCGCTGACCCGGTGTCAAAGGTCATCGGCGTTGCACACTCAGGTGGGGATTTGATTGGCTGAGAGTTTCTTTAACGCTCGGACCTCAGATCTGAACTGTAATCTGGTTCTGGTCCTCAGGCTGGAGAGGCACCCTGATGGGGGTCGCCATGGTGACAGTGGAGGCGATGGTGACAGAGTTCGGTTGCAGAGCGAGTGACATCCTGGTTGCCGTGGGGCCGTCTGTGGGGTCGTGCTGCTTTAGTCTGCAGAGGGAGCAGGCGCTCGACTTTTACAACATCCACCCGGACTGCGTCCCCGACCCCGAGTCTGAGACGCCGCACGTCAACATCCGGCTCGCCAACAGGTCAGCGAGACGCGACAGAAACAGGAAACAGCCACAGTTAGTGCGGCTGACATCACTTCCCCTTTAAGGGTTAAGTCCTTCTGATAATAATAATGTAATAATAACATAGTATGATGATAATATGATATAATTTAATAATAATGTAACGCCGTTTCTGTTGACCCCCCCCAGACTCCTCCTCCAGCGCGGCGGCGTGCTCCCAGAAAACATCCATGACGACACGGTGACGGAGCGCCCGAGCGTGACCCCCTGCACTTCCTGTCACCCTGAACTCTTCTTCTCTCACCGCAGAGACGGGAAAGAGTTCGGTACCCAGGTGGGCTACCTGTGGATCAGAGAGACCCCGCCCCCAAATACACGCTAATGTGAAACCAGGACTGACAGAGACCCGGGTCTGAATATGTGAACGCCTCCTCCTCCTCCTCCTCCCTCTCCTTCTGTCTTTCCTCCTCTCTCTCCTCCCTCTCATGAGGTATCGGCTCCGCCCGGTGGTGATGAAGATTGGCGTCTGCCTCTGAACAGCTTGTTCCTGGTTATTAATTTCCTGTTCTCCTGTTTTAAAGCTCATTAATCGAATGTCAAATAAATGTGAGTCTCTGTTAAAGTTCCAGCTGAGTGGATTTTACTGAACAGAGAACAGCTGGGCTCGCTGTGAGGAGGGAGGCGTTCAGGAGCAGACGGGAGGCGTGGGAAACACGGCGGCGGAGAAAATGACGACCTTCAAATTTTTAATCTGAAAGGAAACAAAACTGAGGGAGAAAAACAGGAAAGGATAAATCAGTCACTGACGTTTCTCTCTTTTACCTCTTTTATCTGACTTCGACATGTTTTACTTACAATCGTTTCTTATTTTACCTTTTTGGCCTTTTATTGATTTTATTGTTTTTTTCCTGTTCATGTTTGTTATTCCATTTTATCATTACTATTACATCATTATTACTTTATTATCATTATTAAAATTGTCTTTTTATATTTACTATCCTGTTTCCTGCTTTCCATCCCCCTTTTTTAAAAAAATCCTTTTTATTTTGGTCTCATTTTATGTTGTAGGGTTCTTGGATTGTCTTGGTTCCTTCTGACAAATGAAACTGTCCTGCAGTTGAATCCCCTAAACAGCCTCCAAAACTCAAGGAAAAAAAAAACTCACAATGTTTTAAAGTGACCCAAAAAAAGTGATTAAAAAATAGCTGGCTAGTGCCCCCTAGAGCGCCACAAACGTCAACTTTTTCCGATCTGCCTGAAATTTTACAGGCATGTGTATCTTGACGAGATCTTTGATTTTGCACGCTTGGACTGTTTTCGGCCCATTTTGACAATTTGCATATATCACACCATACACTACTAGTTTGTTTTTACATCCATGTTCTGATGTTCTGTGATTTACGACTGTTTGTCAAAGAACTTTGTAAACTTCTGTTTTTAAGAGTGATATAAAAATAAAGTTATTATTATTATACTGAGGGTTTACGGGTGGAAGAGTCCCTGAAGGCAGACTGTCATTTTAAAGTAAAAATTATTAACAACATTCATGCTGATTCAGAGGCAGAGAGTCCGTTTCTCTGGACTGTAGAAACCAAGTATAAGACGCTGAAATAAACAAGTGAAGGAACCTCTAAATAAACGTGTTTCTGTTGTTATTGGACTAAAGTTCGAGTTTAAAACTCACGATCAGCTCTGAGGAACTTCAGAGCTGCACACTGATCCTGGATGTAAAAGTGAAGAGACCGAGGACGGCGGTGGGATTCAGACAGCATTTATTTCAAAGACAAACGTCTCAGAGTCGATTTGTCTTATAAAGCAGCCCTTTACCAAAAAAACTAAAATCAATCCAAATAAACCGACGACGTCAAACCGCAGGACGCTCTCCTCTGAGCGCTCCTCATCCATCACAGTAAACATTTCAGTCACCAAATAAAACACAAGAAGAAGAAGAAGAAGAAGAAGAAGGTCCTGCAGAAACTAGAACGTGGAGTTTTGGGTGAAATGTTCCTTTAAATCAGTCTGAACTATGAGGACACCTCTGCAGTGCTTCAAAGAACGTCATATAAATATAATCATAAATCCATCTGTAAACATAAAATCAAACTTTTACAACCAGCAGCTCTTTGGTCGCCTTCCGTCACCTGATCAGTCACATGACAAGTCACATGACCAAACAGATGGAAGAGCTGCTTCTTCAAAGTCTGAATGAATAAATAAAGACAGAAAAGTCCTTCATGGTTAAGGCTTTCTGATCTTCTGTTCCTCCAACCGTGACGCTGAACTTTAACACCAGCCAACGAGCTAACGAGCTAACAGGCTAACAAAGAAGAAAATGAGTCTGAGGTCAAACGCTAAATCAGGTCAAACTTCCTGTGAATCAGAGGAAATGAAATTATCTTCAGCTGCCTGTTTGTCCCAAAGATTCACAGAAAACTCAAACGCTCTGAATGTAAACAGTCGCACAGAGAAAGTCAGTGTTTCTTTTGTTCCAGTTTCCTCAGTTTGGTTCAGATCACTGCGTTAAAACCAGAAACACAAAAGCCCATGATGCATTGCAGTTTAAGACGTCAGTTAAACAGAGAATCTCTTTAAAACCTTCGAGTCTCAGCGGGGGGTCCTAAAGGTTCAGTCAGTGTTTTTTTCCTCTTTTATTCGACGTTTCGGGACTAAAACTTCCTTCAGTCTCCTTCAGAAGGGTCATGTGACCTTGTTGTAGCTGCTGTTGGCTGATTGGTGGACCACGCCCTCTTTCAGGACAGATCCTGGTCTCTGATGGTCTGAAGCTGGTCCTCTCTGAGTCGATGATCTTGTTTTTGGGATCTTTCTCGCTCTGATTTTGCCGAACATTCGTCTGTTTTGTTGCAGGAAAGTCGTGACCAGGTGGGACGGACAGACTTCTGTAAATCAGCGTTTCTCGTCTGTCAATCGTCACCGCTCTTACTGAACTCCTGTTTTTTAGTTCTGTATAAACACAGCGATCACTGCCGACCTCGAAAACATCAAAACACCACAGGAGTCTTCAGAGGAGAACGGACGCAGGTCCTCGTCCGAACACGTCCAAATAAAATAAAATAAAAACACGTTTTTTTAATCGTTTAAAACTACGACTTGATCTTCATCCTCCTCTTCATCGCTCTATGGCTTCTGCTTCACCCGCCACCTGACACCTCCCTTTGATTGACAGCTCCCTCAGCAGGTGTGCTCATGGCTTTATCCTCTTCTATTGGTCAGTCCCTCTGGTCACGTGACGCTGCGTCCTCTGAGTTTAAAATAATCATCTGCTATAATAATCTCTTCGTCCTGAAGGCTCTGACCTTCGACCCCCGTAGAAATGCTGATGCCCGTCATGTGGGAAACTAACCCCTGACCTGCCACACCCCCAATTTTCACCGCATCCAGAACAGCGGCAACTTTCATGTTGTGAGTTGTCTCTCTAAAGACAGACACATAGACATATAAGCAGTAGATTGTGTCCTTCCAGAGGAGGAAATCTACTTCTAGACTTCTAGAATCAGCATCTCCTCATCCATGGTGTCATCGGGGTGAAATGACGTCTAAAAACCTTTCAGTTGTTCGTCTCCGCCCGTTGGCATGCACCTTTGCATCTATGAAATCTACTTTATAAGTGGCGAGCCAGCCAGGAGCCAGCCGGAACAATGGCGATTTTCACCGTCTTCACAATTCCGAGAACTCTGTGATTTACAGGTCTTCGTTGAAAGGACAACTGAACACACTTGAGACGTTTCGCCTAAAGAGTGTTCGATTTTGATTTTGATCCTCAGAGGAACAGAAAGAAGTCGGTGTAAATTGACACGTTAACTTGAATGGTTACGATCAGCTACGATCGGAGGATACGACCTTTTAGGAGACGTTCAGGATGAAGGTGGAAACTGGGGGTCAGGTGCATCCCACCTGTCTCACAGCTAAGCCCCGCCCCTTTCTGCTTCTAAGAACAGGTAATGTGTTTCAGGAAAGTGTCGTATTAACGTGGAGTTCGAAGTTTTCAGGGTCAAAAATCAAAAGTAGGAGCAGTTACCTCCTTCAGCCACCAGGTGTCCCCACACTGCTCAGGTCAGCTTCAGTGTTCGACGCTTTAAAGCCTTAAAATGTTTAAATTTTTAAAGATCGGTCATGAAAAAACATCCTCAGTGAGCACCAGAGGACGAACAGTCAGAGTGTCTCCATGTTGGATCAGATGGTCACAGTCCTGGTCCTCAAGATCTTCACAGAAAACTGACTAAAAAACAAAACAATCACTGATTCAGCTGAAAACAAAGATCCTGTTTCTGCAGTCCGAGAGGACAATCTTAATACTGACCAAGACTGTTGCATTATGGGTAAAAAGCCTTCTTCTGTAAAAATGGGGGTTTTATTTTAAAGTGTTTGTCCAGTTGTTTCCCTGACAGAGGTGAGAGGTGGAGACGAAGACGTCCGAGGAATGAGAGAAAGAAATCAAATGGTCCTGAGAGGAATGACGGAGAAAAAACCAGAGAAGAAGAAGTGATGGGGGGGGGGGGACGTGTCTTTAGGTGTAGGGAGGAAGATCGGAGTGTGAGTGTTTGTAAAGGTCCACCTCCGTGTGTGTTCCTGTGTTAGTGTGTATTCAGTGATATCAGCTGCAGTCGCACAGCAGCAGACCGGCCACTAGAGGGAGCAGGTGAAGCATCAGGAGACCCAGAGTGAAGGCGGGACCAGAGGAGCCGGAGCACGGGTCTGAAACACAAAAACGGATACACCGATTCAGCTGAGAGTCCAGACCGTTAAACCGGGTCTGAGGAACCACCTTAAAGACCTGGTTCAGAAACTGGGACTAAATCTGGATTAACTAAACTCAGTTTAATTAATGTTAGCTGAGTCAATGAGGACAGGTTAGCTCGGTAAAATCGAAATTAAGTTTAAATCAGTTTAATTTAAAACAGTTTAGTTAGTCCTGATGTTTGATTTTGTAGATTTCTGGTCTCACTCTCAGACCCGGTTCTGGTCCACTCACACTGAAATCATCACTTCAGTTCAGTGTCAGGAAAACTACGTTAAATGGGTCAGGTGATACTGACCAATGGGGTTGCTCCTGGAGGCATTTGTGGGCGGGATCTGGTGGGGGAGGGGACAGTCGTCACAGAAGTCGCTGCAGGCGGGGCAGACCAGCACGCCGTTATAGACCCAGTCGTTGACCCGGACGCTGACGCTCAGCAGCTGACCTTTACGCTGACAGAGGAAGGAGCGGTCCTGAACGTGGACCGTCAGGCCCTGAGACGAGCACCACACCTGCAGAGAGAGAGAGAGAGAGAGAGAGAGAGAGAGAGAGAGAGAGAGAGAGAGAGAGAGAGAGAGAGAGAGAGAGAGAGAGAGAGAGAGAGAGAGAGAGAGAGAGTGAGAGAGACAGAGAGAGAGAGAGACAGAGACACACAAAGGGTTTATGACAATGATAAATCATGAGGACCGGTCTGGTTCTGATCATAAACCCGGTTCTTCAGCACCTTGTAGCAGCCGGAGCCCCAGTCCGGGTACGTCATCTTCCTGGTGCACTGCTCCATGACGAAGGCCGACTTCTGGTACAAACACACCGAGTCTGGACCGTACTGCTCCGCCCCGTAGTTCCTCCACCAGTCTGAACACACAGATTGTTTATTATAATAATAATCACCAGAATACGTCTCTACAGTTTGATGTAAATATTGTTATTTATAAACTTCAGTGTGTTTGGTTCCGGGTACCCGGCTGGTTCTCGGTCACTCTGCAGTACGAGTTCCTCTGGTACTCTCCGCTCAGGTGCCAACTGAACTCCTGACTGAACGGACAGAAGTCTGCGATCTCGACCGCGCCGCCGAACATGGACAGCTGATCGTCAGGAACGTCTGGGATCCTGTCGAAATACTGACACACACACACACACACGCACGCACGCACACACACACACACACACACACACACACACAGCCTGTCAGTGATCCAGATGGTTTCGATGACCCTCCCCTCGCCCTCTCTGGTGGGTCAGTACCTGGTACTCCAGCGGCAGCTCCTGCGGATACTTCTGCAGGTTGCAGACGGCCACGGCGAGCTGGTCCTGTCTGCAGGTGAGCTGCAGAGGAGACGCTCGCACCGTGTCGCAGAACGGCGTCACGGCGTGCCGCCTGCAGCAACAACACAAAGAGGTCAGACAGAGATGAGGGGGCGGGGTTTTCTGCTGATGTTTAAAAATGAAAGGATGGAGATCTTGGAGTGTTCTGAGTTCTCCTGAATCCAAACGGACCCGGACTCTGACCTCTGTCTCTGTCGGTCCATCCAGAACTTGCAGCTCTTCATGACAAAGTCACAGCCCAGACCGCGGCCCCAGTCCAGCCTCTGAGCCAGGCTGTAGTTGGCTCGGTACCAGCCGCTGTCCTCCATGATGGCGAGCGTGAGGCGGGAGAAGACCCGGTTCTGAGTGTGGGAGCCCGTCATGGCCTCGTTCTGATGGAGGGACGAGAGAGGATGAGGACCAGAGAAGAGAGAGAGAGTCTGGTTCTCCTGATGAACTCAGACAGAGGGAGCTCACCTCCAGCAGCCTCTTCTCCCAGTGGTTCAGCTCCGTCCCCGTCCCGCCCTGGTTCTCCAGCTCCATCCCCTCCAGGATGGGACAGTTAAAGTGTCTCCGGGCCTCCTCCTGAAGACAGAGAGAGGCCATGAACACATGAACACATGAACACATGAACACATGAACACATGAACACATGAACACAGGAGTCAGACTGCTCCTCTGAGATGCTAAAGCTCCTCCATCATCAAACATCAGAGTCTGTGGTTCCTAAAGACACGGTTTTAAAACATCCTCTCATTGAGGGTTTTTGACACGGATGAGAATCAAGAACTGGTTCTTGAGAACCGGTTCCAAAGGATTCAACCCATCGACATCATTTACATTTTATCTTAACGATTCCCTTAACGATTCCTCTCTTCTAGGTGCCCTGAAAAATGGTCTTGTGAAAGCCAGTCTACGTGAACGCGAACAGAGACGGAGAAAAAAACATGGCGGACGATACAAAAAGTCGGCAGAAACGGTCTAAGCGTGGTTTAATTTGACTAAGAAAGAGGACAACAGTGCGACGTTTGTGGAGCAGTGATAACATGCAAAGATGGAAACACCAGAAACATGTTTAAACATTTGTCAACGGGTCATAGCATAGAAGGTACGAATGTTAGTGTGACCATACGTCCTCTTTTGGGGGCTATAATGAATGTATCTATTGATTATAAAACAGTGCAGAGCATCAGTCCTCTCTGCAGCTCCGCCCCTCCGCTCACTTCTAAGCAAAGACACTGACGTGACGCACGCATGCGCTGTCTTTGGGAATTTAGAATAACATGTTTAACTGAGTTAGAAGAACAGAAAAACACTCGACCCGAACAAAAAAACCCTCAAAATTTCACAGACAAGTCTGCCCCGCATTGTCCTCCCTGGATTCAGAATATGGTCACTCATATTTAATATGCTAACATAATCACGATGAAATTCTATACAAATAATATTTCTGTTTGATTGTTTTAGACTCTCACTGAAGGTAGCATACATCTGTTTCTGTTATCAGAGATTCAATAAAATTATGAGTTAACGGTGAAAACCTATAGTCTACATTTTTTTAAATCAAAGAAAGGCATTGATAAGGGAATCCTTAAAGAATTGAATCAATAAGCAGAATCAATAATCGCATCGTTATCGATCAAATCTTATCAATTCCCATCCCTAAAGTTTCTGATCCTGTTTCTCACCACGACTCGAGGCGTGACGAGGACGTGGACTTGGTGTCGGAGCATCACTCCTCCTCTGATGTCCCAGAGTCTGCTGACCCTCCTGATCACGGCGTCGCTCCACTGATACAGGCCCAGACTGACACACACACACACACACACACACACACACACACACACACACAGATGTTGAGGATTTCCTGCAGTCACTCTGACCTTCATAGACCCTCTAACCCCCAACTTCCACCTTCATCCTGATCGTCTCCTAAAAGGTCGTATCCTCCGATCGTAGCTGATCGTAACTATTCAAGTTAACGTGTCAATTTACACCGACTTCTTTCCGTTCCTCTGAGGATCCTCTGGAAGGACACAATCTACTGCTTATATGTCTATGTGTCTGTCTTTATAGAAACAACTTGTTATTGCACAATTGAACGTGAATCTGTGGGTTCTCGTGAGTTCTCATGATTAACGCTGTCTGTAATCCACCACGAAATTCGCCTCATAAATGGATCCGGTGGGAAATGGTGTACGGAGAATAACGCTGCCGTTCCAGATGTGGTGGAAATTGGGGGTAAGTCAGAGTCTGGATCAGGTGGATCACAAAAACCTGATGGATCTTCTCTTAGAGACCCTGTAGATCTCTGAGGACAGACCAAACATCTCCTCACCTCTCGTTGAAGGCGGGGAGGCCGCTGGTGAAACGTGGAGTCAGAGGTTTACCGTCATCGTCGTGGTAAAAGGCAAACAGACCGGCTGAGAACCCCTAGTGGACAGAAGAGGAACAGCACCTCAAGGAAACATCTCAAACACCAGAGGGAGACCAGTATCAGAATTTAACGGTCTATGGTGGAACTGGTGAGGAGAGAGCAGAACAGCTGAGATCCAAGACCTGATGAGACCTGATGAGACCTGATGTCAACCTGATAAGACCTGAGACCTAATGAGACCTGAAACCTGATGAGACCTGATTAGACCTGAGACCTGATGAGACCTGAGACCTGATGAGACCTGAGACTCGATGAGACCTGATGAGACCTGAGACTCGATGAGACCTGATGAGACCTGAGACCTGATCTAACAGGGTTCAGAGGACCTGTACTGACCAGAGCGTGGATGATCTCGTGTTTGACAGTGGAGAGCATCCCTTCAAACTCCTGCGGCTGAGACGAGATCATCGTGGGACACAGGTTAGCATAACCGGCTATGGGTCTGAAACACACACATGAACACACACATGAACACACACATGAACACACACACACACACACACACACACACACACACACACACACACACACACACACACACACTGAGTTAGAGAGAGGCAGGAATAAAGGCTGAAATCACAGTTTTAGTCACATCAGCTAAAGATCTTCCTCTGAGTTAACTCAAATATAAACACACACACACACACACACACACTCAAACACACACACACACACACTGTCCTCAGGTGTCTCCCCGCCTCACCTGTCTAGCTCCGCCTCCAGCTGGCAGTAGGCGGCGTAGGCCACGATGTTCTCCTGGCCGCAGCGCTCCGTGGTGATGCCGCTGACGTACAGCACAAAGTCGGAGCCCTCGACTCCGGGGCCGTCCGGGGGTCCTGAGGGGCCGCATGACTTCCCTGATTCACTGCAGACCTTACATTGCTGTGGAAGAAGAGTTGGAGTGATGGAGAGGAGGACGCTGCTGTAGTCAGTCTGTTTATTATAAAACTCTGAACTCTAACTCTAAGAGGAAGAAGAACTTTTTTGTCCCCACAGAGAAATTCAATCATTTATTTACTCATAATAGTTTAATAATAATTTCAATTTATACTTCTATGTAAGTCCACTGAGTGTTTTTGAAGACTCTAAAGTCACATTTAAATTCTTCGTTTACGGTCCTCTGTGGAGCGCTGAGATATTAACCAAGTTTTCTCATCATGAAACTTGTTGTTGGCTCGTTGTTCGGACTTGTTTGAACTCAGTCGAAGCTCCAGCTGCTTCAGTAAACACACCTGGACACTCATGGATGAAGACATCTGCTGCTGTTTTGATTTCTGTGACAGTGTCCGTCTCTTACCTGCAGGTGGTGCTGTGGGACAATCACAGGGCCACAGCGTGTGACGTCTGCACAGGCGTCCTGGCAGTAGCGGTGAGGGTCATCTCTCTTCCTCAGGTATTGGTTGGTCGCACATTGTCTGAGCAAACAGAGAAAACACACACAGACGTGAAGATTCTCCACACTGAAGATGGAGAACGTCAGAGTCCTGAGTGTGTCTGAGAAGTCCAAAAACCTGATCCTCTTTTCTGTCACTCCTGTTAAAATCAGGAGAAGTCTCTCTGATGGTTTGGTGAGCCTGAGCGCCCTCACACCTCTTTACTCGAAATGACTCTGCATCTTCAGGAAGGTCCACATACCTGCTGAGCAGCACCGGTCCGACCCGGTGTCTCACACTGAAGGCTCTCTGCAGGTAATCGATGGCCTGAGGAAACAGCTTATCCTGAAGAGACACACGAGGAACGCATTAACGTCCGTCACACCTCAGACCGTTGTTATTACCTGAAGCTCCCGACCTCGCTTCAAACTGAAACTTCACTCAACGTTATTTCTAAAACCAGACTCACCTTCACCAGCCTCCTCTTGTCTGCGGGGAGTCTGTGGAGAGAAACAGAGACCTGCCTGTAGTCACAGTCAGTGGGTACAGCTGCTGAATGATTAAACAGCTGCTCTGCTGCAGAACTTACAGGTCCACGCTGTAGTCGTAGATGATCTTGATCTTCAGCTGGAGGTTTTCAGGTGAGCTTCTTTTGGTCAGACGCTCAGGCTTCAGGTAAACATGATGGACAACCTGAAAGAGCCCAAAGAAAACACAGATACTCAGACTTTTGAGGGGTTTTTTAAACTCATGCTGAGCAGATTTGGTCCAACAGGATGAAATGGACAATTATGGTAAGGGGCGCCAAATGTCAAAATTCAGTCACTGTGTAATAGGCGACATTTTGTCAAGATTCTGCTCACCTTTCTCGTTTTTTTTCATTTGAGACAGAAGTTCATGTAAACAGCGTGTTCTTTTATTTGTTAAAAATGTGTAGATATGAAAAATAAATCTAATCCAAATCTTAAATGCTGTTTTCGCACTGTCGAGCCCTGCAGTCTACAGTTCAAACGGCGGTGCTTTTATTGTGAAGAACCCCAACAGGAAGTGAGATTTAGCTTGTTGCTAGGGGACCTGAGGCAGAATATGAGCAGCTGAATGAGATGAAGAATATTATCACAGTTTTAACATGACGGACCCTTTAAACTCATTATCGATCACAGACTAGATCTGATCGGTAATAATCGATCTGAGTCTGCTAACTGTCGGCTAACCCTTCAGGCTGAAGCTCCCCTGGACTGGTCTACTTAAATCTGAATCTAAATTAAGTATTTAAACCCAAACATAATCCGGATTAACTACATTAAGAGTCAAACTGCATGTTTCTGTATAAAATCAGATTTAAATGAGTTCTTTATTACTTTAAACAGAGAGGTTTAAACTGTTTATTAACCCCAACAGCTAGCATGCTAGTTAGCATAGCCGGGTAGCCGATATTTTTTCACGTAGGATGGTAGGGAAAAGTCCCGCCTCCTTTGCCTCTGATTGGCTAGAAAGGCTGGAAGCGCGGGTTTACATTGAACAGAACATTAATCCGACAGCGCTTCTAGCCAATCAGAGGTGAAGGAGGGCGGGACCTTACCCTACCATCCTTCAAAAAAAGATTCTTAGCCGGGTAGCATCAGAGCTAACCGGTTCTGGTCCGGTCTGACCCGGGGCTTACCTCATCCGGACTGGGGACTCGGTGTCTGCACGCGCCATGGCAGCTCACCCCCACAGCCAGGACCGAGAGGACGAGGGCCGGGCCGAGGATCCAGGACACGGACGGCTTCCCATCTCCGCTCAGCTGCGGCTCCATCCTCCGACCAGCGGCCCGATCAGCGGAGCTCCGCAGCCCGAACTCAACAGAACCTCCGCCTCCGCCGCCGGTCCGGTCCGCTCGGTGCTCGGTTCATTCATCGCTTGCAGGGTGAATCAGAACATGTCAACATCCCAGAGATTCGGTTCTGGAGATAATCCGTGAAACGAGGAGGAAACACCGGCCGGTGGACGGGAGGAATCCGGCGGACAGCTGGTCCCGGTCTGCTTTTCGGTGTCAGCTGAGGAGAGACCGGAGCTCCGGAGATCGTTTATCTTAAAGATGGGTCACTCAGAGGGAAACTCCGTGTATGGAACGATGATCAGATTTCAAAGATCGTATGTTATTGAGATCACTTACTCCCTCACAGCGGTGGAGGATGCTCGTGCTTTTGTTCTAATCACTCCTACAGACAATTATTTTACTATTTCTACAAAAATACGTTAATGTAATAAAATTATTATTAACAACTTTTATTAATAAACTAATTTTCAAAAGTTCAGGTCAAGGAGTGCTTCACAAAAGCAATAATTTAAACTAAACAATGAAGACAAAAACAGGAAAATAAAGGCCCTTCACGCCTGAAACCACAAATTATGGCCAGAAAAGTTACATTTTTTTTTGGAGCTGAAGTTTTAATTTCAATTACAGCTGAAAACCAAAAAGATCAAAGTGTCCTTAAAATTTAATAAATATATTTATTTATCTTGTTCGATACATTAGATGTTTTTGTAAACTGATAAACCACAAGAGGACATTTTTATAATTTATCCGACTGTGTTCAGGTGTTTTTTTTGTAATTTGTTGATCATATTGATTTGATAGAAGTATTATAAACGTAGGTATCAAATATGATACAAAAGGCAATAAAGGGCTACAACAGAGAATAAAATCTTAGGTAAAATTGTTTGTTTGTTTGTTTGTTTGTTTGCTTGTTTGTTTGTTTTTAGCTTAAATTAGAGCTCACTTTGCCTGGTCTTCACTTGTGCAGTACGCTTATTTATGGTTATATGTCAGTGAGTCTTTAATACTTTGTGCTTTTTAAAACTAACAATACTATAAAAATATGTCTTGTGTTTGTCAGTGTATTAAACTCTGTCTGTATTGAGTCATATTAACTTTTTAATAAATTTTGCCTTTTTGCTCTGACCTCCTTTGTGTCTGATGTTGGTTCTCACACTGTGTTCCAGCTCAGTATCAAACCTGAGGAGGTTTACAGACAGACGGGTTGAATGTGATTGGTTCTGGTTGCTTAAGTTTAACTGAATAATGAAGAGTCTCTGATGGTAAAGTGGAAAATGAAAGGCTGCTCGGACTCTGTCTGCTCTCTGTATGTTTGACTTTGATGCTCACCTCTTTGACTGCAGTCATGAAGAACTCATTTAACTCTAATGACGCTCACAGACTCCGTTTAAGTGTGCATGGATAAAAGCTGTGGGGAAATAAACTTAATTAATGTTAAAGTAAAAATTAACCTCTTAAGTGATGTTTAAGTACATCATAGTTGTGCCTGAACAGACTGGGAAAGCTTGAATAAACGTGCAGGGGTGTGTCCAGAGAGCAGCTCTGGGGTGACCTGCTCCCTAAATATGATTGGCCACCCCAAAATATTTTCATTACAGACGACAAAATACTGATGTGTTAAGATTAAAGATTTACAAGAATAAAGAAAAAAGCATTCAGCAAGAACTCAAGTACATTTTTCCGACTTGTCAGTGTCTTACATCCCGAGGACAGGGTCAGTCCTCTCTTGACTTTAATCTTGAAATTCAAACTTTTTTTTCCTCAGAATTTTTAGACTTTTCTTCAAATTTTGAGATAAAAGTCAGAACTTTTTATAATATTGATTCAGATTCTTCAAACCCTAAAAATATGTGTTAAAAATCATTTTTCTAGGTTCCCTTATCGTCTTTTAGAAACAGGAACTTTTGGTTCATGTTGACTTGTGCGCCCCCCTGTGGACAAAGTAGACCCTCTTGTCTCCTTGATTGTCAGTGTTCTTCTTATGAGTCTGGTTTTTCATTTTTAGCTCTTAAAGAGGATCCAAACAAAGTTCAGTCTGTTTTATAACCAGGAGATAAAGATGGATTGTGAATCGTTGGAGATCTTGTGTTTTATTTGGACAGAAACGGTGAGTAAGAGTTTTTTTTATATATATACTCACAGACTCGCTCTCTTCATGAGTCAGGGCCACCCCACTTACAGAGTCTGGACACACCCCTGCTTGGTCAGCCGTTGGTCAGGGTTTTCAGTGCTCGGGTTTTTGATTTGTGAGCCTCGTTCCTGTAAAACTGCAGAGATATTTTGGTCCCATTTGTGTCGGGTGATCAGCTCCTCTGTAATCATAATAATCGGGCGTTTCTCCTCACATTTCTCTGTGTTGTGGGAATGAGTGAGTCAGTCGTGTCTCCAAAACCTCAGCCTTATTAAAGTGTTGTTCACCGCCGCACCACCACCACCACAGCCCCTTCAGTCCCATTTTACACACAGACCAGAACTCAAAGACGTTGTTGCTTCAGTTTCTCTTTCATTTGTGTCTCCTCTGACGTCGGAAATTCAAGTTTTAATTGTTGTTTGAGAAAGAATGTGACCTTTTAAAGCCACTAATTTACTCTGAATGTGGGAGTGTTATTCAGACTTTCACATGAGATCTGCTTCTGTTTGATACGTTTGAGGTTATTCTATAAAAATACCTCTTCATACAGAGAGACAGAGACAATAAGGAGGTAGAGTTGAAAATAAACTAAAAATACAGCTGAAGTTAGTCCAACATAAACAAAGAGCCAGGTTGACAGTCCTGGAAACGGTTTGAGAGAGCGTGCCGGGACTTAGCTACACCTGAGAGAGGTGTGGTCAAGCCCCGCCCACCAGCTGCTGACAGGTAGACAAATACAGAACCAATATTTGATCATTAATCATGGAATTAATCATTAGAGGTTCTGTGGTGAGACATCCTGAGTGAGAACAAAATACAGTTTTAAAAACCCTGACCTGAGATCAGACTTTAAAGGTGTTGTAGTCAGGATCTGAGTTAGTTCCAGTTTTTAGGAGAAACCTTGAATGTAAACTCTACCCCTCCAACCAGTTTTCCCCTCAGCTCCTCCTCTCCCCTCAAGCCCCGCCCACAAACAGACGCTCCTGCTCGCTCGTATCGTTCCAGTTAAATTCAGATATAATGCAGATAAATACTTCAGATCATTACAAATGGGTGAATGAATAATGTCGGAATTTCGATATTCCAAAAAAATTAAAATCTTGACATGAAAGTTGAAATGAAAATTTTAAAAATCTCCCTCCTGTAATTATTTTCTCTCTAATCCTCTCTCACACTTCTGTTACAGACACTTGTCTTACTTTGTTAAAGCGGTTTACCTGTCCAGCAGAAAGGTTACAGGGTCACCAAGATCCCCAAGCGTCCCCCATCGTTTATGTTGACCCGGCTTTTTAGCTCTTGTCCGGTCTACCTCCGTTTTAAGCGCCCGTTATTCCTCCAGAGTCTCCGGTATTTACTTTGTTTTCTTGCTTGTGTCGGCAGTCGTGGCCAAAGGAGGATTCAGACAATTTTCCGAACTTTCTGGTTGGTTTCTACTGTCCGATATTGTAGCACGCTAACTTTGTTTGGGCTCCTGAACGACACGGGGGAGCAGCGTCTGCCTCACAACCAATCAGGTTAGAGGAGGTGGAGAACGGCTTTGTTTACAGTCAGAAAGAGCGGACCGCTCAAAAATGTTCAAATGTTGACGACACAGACATAAGAGAACACAGAGATATCGATATATTACCAAATGTCATCAATAACTAATAACTATTGACTGATATTAGAAGATTTTTTGTAAATACACCACAAAATAAAGATGCTTCTTTAACAGATTCCTGTCTACTCCACCTTTAACTCTGAATCTTAAAGTGAAAAATCAGTCAAATGTGTTTCTGATGAACATGAAGTTAACCACCTCTGAACACAGACAAATGTTCCTTCAATTTCATTTTTGAGTTTAACGCTTTGATCAAAATAAGACGGATGGAAAAATACTTGAGCGATCGATCATAAGCGACAGGAAACTAACTTTATTTCAAAGTGAGTAACAAAGATGGAGTCAGTCCCTGTGTTTCCAGTCCTTTAGTGGTTTTCAGTGTTTGTGTTTCGCTCTGGTCGGAAACATTTTTCTCCTCTCTGGATTCTTTCACATCTTCAGGAATTTGGTGAATTTTTCCAGTTTTTGCATCTTTGCAACGATTCTGCAGAAAATAAAGAGTTTTAGAGACACGATCCATCGATCTTTAAGAAAAAGGAAACAGATTTCAGACTCAGGAGACAGCTGGAGGTCAGAGAAACGATAACAGAGAAAGAGAGATGATCATGGAGACCTGCTCCAACAGAAGAAAAAACGTCTCAGACTATCAAAGTTCAGTATTTATCTGCCTGCAGAAGTTCGACCCATGTCCTCAGAGGATCAGGACCTGAACCTGACAGAAACCGGTCCACCCTCAGAGTCTGTAGGAGGTTCTCCTCATGGTGTTCCTCCTCAGATCTCCTCCTGATCTGAAGTCACTCACACCAAGTCCACAGTTTACTCCACAGAGCCGGCGTGAGGCAGGGAATCATGGGATACCTCTGTTCCTCCTCTCTCTGAGTCTCGCTGAGGATTCTGGGAGGTGGAGGAGGTAGAGGAGGTGGAGGAGGATGAAGCAGCAGCAGTTACAGAAGGACTGTGATTACTGTCTGCTGTTTCTGAGTCCTTTCCTCTCTCCTCGTTCCCTTCTATGCTCACTCCTCTCCTCAGCTCCTCCTCTTCATCACGCCCTCCTCCCTCCTCTTCCTCCTGCTGCAGGGCGTTGAACCGCTCCACCACACAGTGAGCCGTCAGCCGGGCCTCCGGGTCGTGGTCCCAGCACTCGGTGACGGTGGAGCAGAAGATGTTCATCCCCTGGAGGTCAGAGAGCAGCGGTTAGACATCAGGAGAGACAGAAGACAAGAAACCAGAACCTCAGACCCTGACCTGGTGTTGAGTCCACGCTGACGGGATGTCCGGCCGTCCTCGGTCCCTCAGCACCAGGTCTCTCATGCTGTCGACACAGGGCTGCTCACAGACCTTAGAGCCGAAGGCCGGCTCGTAGATCTTCACCTCTGCAGAGAAACAAACTCGGTCAAACCTTCAGGACCAGATCCAGAGACTCTTCAAGTACTGATACAAGAGCGCCTGTTAGAGGAGACTGAGAGGTCCCCCAGGACGATCCAGGACCAGATCTTTGACTGTTACCAGATCTTACCCCCAATCTCCACCTCCATCCTGATCGTCTCCTAAAAGGTCGTATCCTCCGATCGTAGCTGATCGTAACCATTCAAGTTAACGTGTCAATTTACACCGACTTCTTTCCGTTCCTCTGAGGATCTAAATCCAACTGGACTCATAGGCGAAACGTCTCAAGTGAGTCCAGTTGTCCTTTCAACAAAGGACTGGAAATCATAGATGCTGCATCCTCAGTTTTAAACAACATCTCAACCTTAATTTCCACTTCATCCTGATCGTCTACTAAAAGGTCGTATCCTCCAATCGTTGCTGTTTCAGGAGGATCGTATTTCACACCATGCAAACGGGCGGAGACGAACAAGTGAAAGGTTTTTAGACGTCATTTCACCCCGATGACACCATGGATGAGGAGATGCTGATTCTAGAAGTCTAGAAGTAGATTTCCTCCTCTGGAAGGACACAATCTACTGCTTATATGTCTATGTGTCTGTCTTTATAGAGACGACTCGTTATCGTGTGATTGAACGTGAATCCGCAGGTTCTTGTAAGTTCTCGCGATTACCGCTGCCACAGAGTTTTGCTTCACCAACAGATCTGGTAGGAATTGGCGGACAGTGAAAATCGCCGCTGTTTCGGATGCGGTGAAAATTGGGGGTTAGACCCCCTAAAGAAAGACAGTAAAGAGGGGAGAGCTCTTACCCCCAATGGCCTGGCAGCGAGACGCCATCTCCCAGAGGACCAGAGCCATGGAGTAAACATCCATCTGTTTAAAGGCCTCCAGGTCTTCCAGGTTCACCCTGGACTCAAGGACCTCAGGAGCCATGTAGCGAGCCGTTCCTACCTTGAGAGAGAGAGAGTCCGATCAACGACCAAACCATCAAACTAAAGGTCTGCTGTGTTCAAGATGTCGTGAAGGTGTGCGGCTCACCTGTCCACTGTTGGCGTAGTCATCAGCAGTGAGGGAGAGGTCCAACCTCAACGCCAGACCAAAGTCACACAGAGCGCACTCCTTCCTGTTCTTCACCACGATGTTACTGCTCTTCAGGTCCCGATGGGCGACCGGGATCTACGGAAACAGACCAGCAACAGAGTCTGAGAACAGGATCAGACACTCAGAGGTCCTCTGTCAGATCAATAAGTGCTGAGACGGCGAAGTCCGCAGCAGGTTAAACTCTTAATCCCGTCGGTGATGTTCAGAGTTTACTGAGTAAGAACGAGAGTTTGGCGCGGACGCCTTCTCCCGGGTGCTGCTGGGTAAATTTAGAGACTATAAAGTTCACACACTGAGCTCACCTTAGGAACCCCGCCGGGAGTCGTGTCGCTGTGGAGATGAGCTAATCCTCTGGCAATGCTGCCCGCCATGGCGAGGAGCTCCTCCCAGGTCAGGATGTTTGCAGAGAGGAAGTCCTGCAGGTTCCCTAAGCTGTGATAGGCCAAAACAAGCCAGTACTTCCTGAGGGCGTGGCCAGACGGACCCCTCTCCTCAGCTGCGAAGAATCTCACCACGTTTTCGTGCTCCAGTTTGGGGTCTGTGAAGATGGAGCACTCGTTCCTCCAGGAGGCGTACTCCACCGCCGGAAACACCTTCACCGCCACGGTTTCGTAGCTGCTGACTCCACCCTTCTCGCCCTCCAGCAGACACCCCCTCCACACCTCTGCGAAGCGCCCCTTCCCCACCAGAGCCTCCAGTTTGATGGGCAGCGGTTCAGACATTTGGCCCTGCCAGGCGGTGACCTCACTGATGTTGTCGTTGGGCACCTTACCGTTAGACTCCTCCATCCCGGTCCCAGGACCGCCCAGTCCTCCTCCACCTTCACCTCGAGTCCCCAGACCTCCACACGGCAGGTCGAACGCCTGGTAGAGATCAGGGGTGCGTTTGGTGGGCCAGTCAGGGCGCGCAGGAGGGCCGGGTTTATCTGGACGGCGTGTGCGGTAGAAATAGAAGGCGGCGGTGGCGACTATGGCGACCAGGATGGGAGGCACCAAGCTCACCACCACCACCGAGATCACGTCTTTACTCTGCAGCTTGGAGAACCCTGCAGGAAGACGGAGAGAAGTTCATCCATCCATCCGTCTGATGTTTGATCTACCTGTCCTTCTATGAACCCATGAACATGCCGATCAATAACCCTGTCGACCATATATGGTATCTGATCACTCATTCATCCACTGACCCTCACAGCTACCTATAATTTAATCCTTCATACATCCATAAACCCAAATACAACCAAAACAACACAATACATCTGTCTATTCATCCATCCATCCATCCATCCATCCATCATCCATCCACGCCCCTCACCGTTGGCGCCCTTGTCAAAGATCAGCTTGTCGTTACACTCGTGCTCGCCATGGCAGCCGCAGACCATCATGGCGCCGTCATCGGCGGGCTGAGGGACCATGTGACACTCTCTGGACGTGAAGTTGAGCAGTAGAGCCGGGTCCACGCCCTCTAGTGGCAGGGAGGGGTCATGACACATGGTGTGGACTGTCATGGTGTCGTTGGTCTTCCTCCTGAAAGAGAATAAATGGTTGATGACTCTGAGTCTGACTGAACTGAAATGATGTTCTTCTCTTTATTGATGATACAGCTTTACTCTAAGGAGGTCCGCCTCCTTCAGTCCAGACCCGGGTCATGGTGAACGGGATCCCTGCACCCATGAGGAACCATCTAATACCAGCACATGACCCGGGGAGCATGTCTGACATTCAGGTGTGGACTCGATCATCGCCGAGTCTTCCTGTTTCATGCAGTACGATGTTTACAAACCAGACAAGAACTCATGTGGTCATATCAGAGGTTCACCCTCAGAGGTGTGGTGCACACGCACGTGTACTGTCTGATCATACTCTGACTACGCTGGTTACATGGTAGAGAAAATCTAATTCCAATCTCATTATCTGGGAGTCCTCAAACTCTGGTTATAGTCGGACTAAGGTGTTTACATGACCTTCAGTTGTCCGGTCTTAATCGGAATAAGGCGATAATTCGGTTTTCTCGAGTGTCATGGAAACGGACTGAGTGTCTCAGTGTGGTTTCCTTGTCCTCGTGTCCAGCAGCAGATTCAGATGTTTGTGAGTCTGCAGACAGTCGGAGCTGCTGAACTTTGACCTGAATTAAGCAGCGTTTCCCTCTTATCGCTGGTTTCCTGCAGCTATCTGCAGGGAGGGGCCGGCAGGCCGACATGAACAGGAAATGAGAGGGGAGCAGTTAGGGGGATCCCAGCGTCGCTCTGCTGTCCAAACAAAAGCACGACTCAGCAGAAAGTTGGAGAAAGTGATGCCAGCGGAGTCTGCGGACAGACGCCCTGACAGCTGTGAAGCTCTGCGGGGTGGACATGAGATCTCAGTGTGAAGCTCTGAAACCCAGAATGAAATACGGCGGTCACACGTGTTTTTTTCTGCAACGGTAGCGAGCGGAGAGCAATGACTCCAGGATGTTTCAGAGCGCTGATCAACAACATCTTGGAGCAGCTGAGCTGTTCTGTGGTGGACTCTGCTGGATCAGTGGATCCAGCTGAAGGAAAACAATGAGTGTGTCTGAGAGCACAGCGAGTCTCAGCATTTCTGTGGGACACCAGAGGCTTCAGGACAGACTGTTTTCATTTCTGCTCTTTAGAGGAGACCGAGAGCGAGTGGGCGAGACTGGAAACTCAAAGATGAGAGCAGACTGATGTTCATGTGAAGAAGAGCGGACTGTCTGAGTGTCTCTAACATGATTACATGAATAAACGGTTCGTTCTGATCACTGACCATACGGCGATGCAGATCTCCTCGATGACGGTGCAGAAGGACGACAGGTTGCAGTTACTGGTGCAGACGCTGTCTTTACAGGCCGGGCTGGAGAGTTCACACCACTTACAGAGGTTAAAGCTCAGGTGGCTGAAGGAGCGAACGCCGACGGGAGGGCCTGCAGGGAGGGAGGGAGGGAGAGAGAGAGAGAGAGAGAGAGAGAGAGAGAGAGAGAGAGAGAGAGAGAGAGAGAGAGAGAGAGAGGGAGAGAGGGAGAGAGAGAGAGAGAGAGAGAGAGAGAGAGGAGGGTTAGACAGGGAGAAAACAAAAACACTGAGGGTCCAGTTTAACACAGTCATCATCAGAAGTCGACTTTGTGTAACTTTGGAAACGACGATCCTTACAGAGTTCAAACACTATAATAAAGAGGTTCTCAACTGGTCTCACTCTGGGTCCCCACGGTCCTGAAGTCACGACCCACTTTTATATTAAAAAAACAAGAAAATTTAGTTTTTATATAAGAAAAAAACCTTCAAAGACTCAAATCTTTAACATAAATCCATCTGTTTTATTGAGTAAAGTGTATTTCAGAGCACATGAAGGTGACAACGACCGAAGTTACTTAAACAGAAAATATTAAATCTCTAATAATTATCGTATTTAATATTTACTTTTTTGACCACCATCCAGAACGTGTCTGTGACCCACTTCTGGGTCGGGACCCACCAGTTGAGAACCACTGATATAATATACTCTATGTGTGTGTCTGTTTGTGTGTACTTAATCTCTGCTGAGCCACAACAACAACAACAACAACAACAACAACAACAACAACAACAACAACAACAACAACAAACAACAACAACAGCAGTGATCAGAGACAGACGACAACAAAATGACACACACACACACACACACACACACACACACACACACACACACACACACACACACATATGCACACAAATGTTTACAAAATGATAAACATGCACAAAATCTTCCCTACTCTGCATCATAATGACATTAACTTCATACACACAGGATTGTACACACAAACACACAACACTTCATTAAATCAACACACACACACACACACACATACACACTCACACATACACACACAAACACACAAAGCTGAAGTTATTCCATATGTTTCTTCCAAACAAAGACAAAGAGAGAGAGAGAGACAAAGAGAGAAAGAGAGAGAGAGAGCAGCAGAAACAAAATGCTCAATTTAATTATACTGAGTGTGTGTCTGTGTGTGTGTGTGTCTGTGTGTGTATATGTGTATGTGTGTGTTTGTGAGAGTGTTAAAGACAATAGAGTTTCTGCATGTGTGTGTTATTCTGAGACAGCAAGTCTGTGTGTGTGTGTGTGTCTTGGTGTATGTGTGTGTGTGTGTGTCTTTGTGTATGTGTGTGTGTGTGTGTATGTGTGTGTGTCCCAAAATAAATTAAATCCAGAAGTGAGCTCCATTCAGCGCCAAGTTAGTATCCAGAGCTCCGCCCTCAAAGGCTCATGGGAAATCTAGGCACTCCAAAAAGGGCCTCATATCAGAGCTGCAGCTTTATCATAGACACACACACACACACACACACACACACACACACACACACACACACACACACACAGTCCCACTCCTCTGCTTTTTTGAAAAAACTCTTATTTTGAAAAACTCACTCTAAAGACTCTTACTTTGATTTTCTCTGTTATATTATTTATTTTTAATCTTATTTTGAAGGATCCTGATTCTCACATCTCTGTTTAAAAAAATGAATCTGATTAACCTTATCTGATGAGCTTTTATTTTGGCGGTCTGAGTGAGTCACAGAAGTGTTTTCAGTGAGTGTGTTGTTGTGTAGCAGTGCGGTAGGTCAGTGTGTGTGTGTGTGTGTGTATGAAGAGTGACATTTACTTTGAAACTTCCTGTTGATTCCTCTCTGACCTGTTTTTAAAAGTCAGAGCGCTCACTCTGACCTGTTTTTTATTCACCATTAGACCTTTTTCGTCCTCGTTCTTTAAAACACAACAGCGTCTTCATGAACTACAACATCAGAGATAATCGGAGCTGCAGTCTCAGACGTTAACGGTGCAGCTGTGTAAAAAGTAACACCGTCTAACTGTCCATCAGTGATAAACCGAGAGTTTCAGACAGATGCTGACTCACCATAAACTCCATCTGTAGTTTAAATCAGGTTTTTACGGTGGAGTAAATCTGCACCTGCACAGTTCGGACAGAGACAGGCGGACATGAAAATGAAAAAAAACAACTCTCTGTTCGGTTTCTCTCTTGAATCGTGTTCAGAAACGTGCCGCTCAAATAAGAACATGAAAATGCAGTTTGTTTGATTTATTCTTCATTTTATTTCTGAGTCAAATTATGAAGTTTTGGAACGAAAAAGCCGAACTGCAAATGTTTTTAAATATTCAGATTTGACATTTCTAATTGAGTTTTGGTTCATATCTGCTGGGGAATATTTAGAAAATTTAATCTCAAATGGATTTCGCAGAAACAGCAATTCAGATTATTTATTGTTAATCTTATTTATGAGTCAAGAAGTGCAGGTACAGTCTGAAAATGCTAATGCATTTCTGTTCATCTATCTTTATTTGAATTATGGTACAAATTTGCTTCCATAGATTCATGCTGAAATGACTTATTAGATAAATAAGGAGTCTTAAAAAACACTCAGACTGACAGAATAAAAGGAGGACACGAGTAAAACTGGTCTACAGGAAGAAGAAGAAGAAGAAGAAGAAGAAGAAGGAGAAGAAGAAGAAGAGAAGAAGAAGAAGAAGAAGAAGAAGAAGAAGAGCGGAGGTGAAGTGAAGTCGACCAGAACAGAGCGTCTCTGTCAGAGAGACTGAACAGATATGAACTGAAGCACATCCTCAGCTGGGTGATGAATGGAGCTCTGCAGCATCTGTGTGTGTGTGTGTGTGTGTGTGTGTGTGTGTGTGTGTGTGTGTGTGTGTGTGTGTGTGTGTGTGGGTCGGGGTCATCAGGCCATCCACACGTCACCTCTCCGTCCTCATTAGCACAAATAAAACACACATTTAATCGCACAAACACACACACAACACTTCCTCTCAGTGCCAGTCGCTCTCTTCTCCAGTGTCTTAAGACAGAGCCAAGATGTCAGCGTGTGTGTGTGTGTGTGTGTGTGTGTGTGTGTGTGTGTGTGTGTGTGTGTGTGTGTGTGTGTGTGTGTGTGTCTCAGATACACTCACTCTTTGTTGGATGTGAGATAATGGGTTTCTTTTTAGTCGTTTCTGTTCGTTCGTTCAGTTGAACTTCAGTTTAAATCTCTAAGAATCAGAGGTCAGCTCCAACGTCAGAAACAGATTTACAGAAAAAACAAACAAACAAACAGATTTAAGAAAAACATAAAATCAACAAACAGATTTAAGAAAAAAAACAAATAAACAATCAAACATGTAAACCTGCAGTCGTGTTGACAGCTCTGTTCAGCGTTTGAAGCTGAAAATTTCTTCTTTTTTCTCAGATCTGTTAAGAATGAAAAAACTTTTGATGTTGCAGCTACAACTTATAATTTTCCTCCAAATTCAGAACAAACTTCCAGAAACCTCCAAACTATCAGGATCTTTTGTTTTTTCCACCGTCTTCACAGACTCACAGAAACTCACACTGATGGACTTCAGGACAGAAACTGGTTTAGTTTTTATTACTGTGTTTAAATCTGACCGCTGACACTGACACTTCTCCACCACCGTACCACCGCCGTCCTCTCTGAACCGAGAAAAGCAGAAACGACTTCTTTGACCATCAGCTGATAATCGAGAGTTTAGAAACTCCGACACCGACGTGCTCGCCAAGGAGACGCCAAATCACCATTGACCTTTGACCCCACCTCAACTATGAGTGTCTGCTGCACCAACATGTAAAGTTAGGTTTGAGTCCAACATAATAATAATAATAATAATGATAATAACTTTATTTGTATAGCACCATGCAACATAAAATGAGACCATGAGGACCAAAATAAAAACATAAAATAAGAGAAAAAAGGGGGTAAAATGCAGGAAACAGGAGAGTAAATATAAAAGATAGTAAATATCAACAATGATAATAAAATAATAACAGGTAATACTGATAATAATAGTGAAGATAAAATAGAGGAACAGAAATGAGCAAAAGATAAAACAATAAAAGGCCTAAAATGTTAATTTAGAAAAGAGTTCAAGTTTAACAAAAGATAAAAAGACAGAAAAGACGAAAAAAGATAAAAGAGGTAAAAGTTAAAAGATTAAAGATAAAAGACGTCATCTCATAAAATCAAGTCTGTAAAAGTGAGTTTTTAAAGAAGCGTCTGTCTCTGCTGTTCTCCTTCTCTCCTCTGAAGGTCGTTCCAAAGTCGAGCAGCTCTGATGGACAAAGATTGATCAGCTTTAGTTTAGAGACTTTGGAACGACCAGATACTGAGAAACTCAGACACTGAGTTTAGTTTCTCCGTAAACTTCTAGATCATTTTTCATCCTGTTGTCCTGCTGGTTCCTTTTTCAGGACTTCCTGATGATGATTGAAAGTATTAAAGGTCACGACAGTAAAGGAGGCGATCAGGGTTCAAGGACAGGCGGTTTGGACAAGAGCACAAATACGTGAAAGAAAGGTTCGTAAGAAGTCACTGAGATCCTCCTTTAGATCTGAACCTGGACTCTGAAGGACCAGAAGGATCCGAGTCCTTCAGCAGATGTACTTAGACCGGCTCTAAGAGGGATCAGCTAAAACCTCAAACCTCATCTGAACTGAAGTTACGACAGAGTTCAGAGAACTTTTAAGAGTTTTTATAGTTTTTATATCATGAGAATAAAGTCATGAATTCAGACCTGATCCTCATAACAATGTGGATCTGAGAGGACAAAACATTAGGGACACTTTAACCAGAGACACCTCAGTCCTCATTTAGGTCCAGACAGCTGCTGCTCACTGTGAACCAGAACCAGAACCACGACAGTATCAGCTCCATAAACACGAGGACTTTATTCTCATTTCATGACTTTAATCCTCCTAAATCATGACTTCACTTTCTCAGGACTTTACTCTCATTTTAAAACTTTAATCTTCTTAAATCACTGAGACTTTATTCTCCTAATTTGACGATGTTACAACGATCACGGCTTTATAAAAAACATTTGAAATCATTGAGAAAGAAAAATCTTTAAGGTGGTCCTCAGACTGTAAGTGTGTTACAACTGCTCCCGGTCTCCCCTACTTTACTGTGAACCAGGTCGGAACAGAGAACCCGGAGAACAGTGACCGGGTTTAAACCAGAACTTTTGAAGGCAGTTTTTCACGTCCTTCACCTTCATTTCACTCAGAACTCAGAGCTGCGCTGAAACTCGGCTGGACCTGAACTCCAGCAGAACTTTGTAAGAATCTGAGAACATGTTTGGACTTCAAACTGCTCCTGATCTGGACTTCCAGAACTTCGACTTGGACTTCAGTACTTTGAAAAAGTTCTGCTGTCAGTTCAAACTTCAGAGAGGATCAGGTTTCTTCTATGAGAGCAGATTTTCCAAAACAAACCCCCTCCTCCATCCATCCATCGGCCCCTCCACAGCTCCACAATCACCCCGAGAAAAAGACAGAAAGCAGCTGAACTCACCGGCCGAGAGGACGACCAGAACCCCGGTCCAACACGTCCAGAACCAGGACATCATCAGCAGGAGGGGAGGAGGGTCAGCTGGACCGGAGAAACACACAGGAGCTGGGTTAGTCCGTCCGCGACTCGGTCTGTGTGTGAGAGAGAGAGAGAGGAGGGGGGGGAGAGAGAGAGAGAGAGAGAGAGAGAGAGAGGGTCCAGATGTTTTTCATCCAGATGTGGTTAAGCCCCGCCCCCTCCTCCTCCTCCTCCTCTCTGACTCCACATGTGTCACACAGTCCGGCGCTGACAGGAGGAGGAGGAGGAGGAGGAGCGTTCATGGATTTATGAGTCTGAGGAAGAAAACTGCCGATACAGCAGAAAAAAGACTGACTGATGTTATTACTGAGACTAAATCTGATACTAACCTCAGATTATTGATATAATCCTGAATTTACAAATCCTGGTTATAATCCTGATTATAATCCTGATTATAATCCAGAGGAAAAACTGACTCCAGGGAAACGAACAGAGACAGTTTGATGAGTCTGAAAATGAAAAGAGGATTAAATAATAAAAACATGTTTGTGTTTGATGTCGATGTTTATTCTCTGATGATGTTTCTTCAAACAGAATTAATCTGATTTAATTTGAACTCTGAATAATTTCAGATATCAGGACAAACACGATCATGTTCCACTGCAGATCAAACTCCCTTTAAAAATAGTCTTTATTTATTTTATGTTAATTTGTGTAAAGATTTATTCAGATTACATGAGATTAGGTCAAATTAAGTACAACAGCAAACAAAACAAAAGGATTTATGCGAAATAACTCAAATATATGATACGATACAAAACAAGTTTAAATGTTTCAGTATATTAAATAAAATGATTTACTATGTGACATTAAAATATGCTGTATTGTAAAATAATCCCTTAAACGGTCAGATTAATGTGGAGCTCCTCTGATAATCTGTTTTTATGATAAATCCATGAAAAAACATTAAAAAGTGGAAAAAGTTCTTTAAATAATCTTTGAGTTCTTAGTAACTGATGGTCTCTCTCCGGTTTGATGTTGTGCTGCCACCTGGTGGTCACATGATGTCACTTCAGTCAGAGCAGGAAAAGGTTTGATGACAGTTTAAGAGCTTTTTATTAGTTTAAAATAAAACAAATGGAAAATCATTGAGATTATAATCAAAAAATAATATATATAGTTAGTTTATAATGTTCTGTTGTGATGAACTCTTTAATATCATTTGTAATACGTTTGTTTTTAATTCATATTTTAATAAACTAAACAGAGAAATAATGTAAAAATGTTATTTTAACATAATGTTTATTACAGTAAAGATTTATCATGTTTCTTACATTTATTATATTTCAGTCCACTTTACTTTAAAACACTGTCACAGGACCAAATGAGTTTATGTATTAGTTTAGGTGTTTATGGAGGAATAATCGTTTTTAATAGTTTTAAACTAAAGAAAAGTTCCTGTCAGTTATTATTGTGATCTGAGTTTCCGTACAGGGGCTTTTATTTTGTAAGACGTTAGCAGGAAGTACTGACGTTGTACCATGTGACTAACCTTTAAGCACAGTTTATTTTCGGTCAGTGTAAACTAACTCAGTGTCTGTGATCTGTCAGTGTGTCTGTGTGTGTCTGTGTCTCACCTGCCTTTATCTCAGGTGAGTTTATTACCTGTTTTATAACCTGAGCTGACATCAGCGGGATCACAGCCGGACTGTGGACCCGGACCTCTGGACTCTTCAGGAGGGTTTCTCCTGTCTTTGGTCTGAGTCCGGGTTTGAGTCCAGATCCAGAGATGAAGAGGAGACTTCTGCTGGTGTCCAACTCCACCCTGCACGGCAGCGGATACTTGGACCACTGTCAGACACACATCTCAGACTTCTTCGGAAAGTGAGTTTAACATCTATTCAGGTTTAATTTAATATCTATTAAAGTTAAATTAATACATATTAAAGTAAGTTTAATACAGATTAAAGTGCGTTTACTACACACCAAAGTTAGTTTAATTCAGCATACAGCGAGTTACAGCTGTTTTTACAGATGACAGCTGCGGTCTGTAAGGAGTATAGAACAGTTCATGGGGCAGCTGCACCAAACTCCGTTCAAAAATAGAGGAATTTTGCGTTTCCACACTTTGCCGTTGATAAAAATCTTTCCATGACAGAGTTCAAATAAACGTTTAATAATGATTAATCCTGTTAATTTCGGCATATATTCAGATTAAAGTGAGTATATACAGATTAAAGTTCGTTTAGTTCGGCATTCACCGAGTTAACTACAGCTGCTACAGAGACAGCACGAGTCTGTAAGGAGCAAGGAAAGGTTCATGGGGCAGCTGCACCAAACTCCGTTCAAAAATAGAGAAATTTTGCGTTTTCACAGTGTAGTTAATAAAAACTTTTTTTGAAATAGTTCAATTAAAACGTTTAATAACAACTAATCCTTTTAAATTCGGCATAAATTCAAAAGCTGATGGTGATTGTTTTACTCTCTCAATGACTCTTAAATGTCTGAAGTAATGCTGTAGAGCTGTTAATATAACATGCCACCATCGCGGAAATCCTGCAAATTTGTATAGGATATACGCTTGTTAACATGACACACATGAATTTATCTATTTATCTGTCTTTCAAGATATTTATCTATCCATACAGAGATCTGTTCAGTCATGTTTAATGTACATTAAGATGCTTGTTTTTCCAATGGGGTTTGGTAAGACCTGTATAAAACTGTGTTTATCCGGTTTAAGGTCTGAAGTCTCCTTGTAGGTTATAATAGATATTAAAATCACAGATTTGATTATCTATTTTGTTGAAAAGAACATTTTGTATTTAATTTGAATTTAACCATCATGAGCTGGACTCCACAGTATTGGCCTATATAACCAGTTTTCTGACCTGTGTAAAACTGTGTGCAGTTCTTTACTGACTGTTTGTGTGTTTCAGAGATGTAAAGAGAGTCTTATTCGTCCCGTACGCTCTGCATGACAGAGACGCTTACACCAAGACCGCCAGGGACAAGTTCAAGACTCTGGGTATAAATATTTACTTTGATTATAAATACATGAATTCAGCGTAGTTATAAATCCTTTAGAGATTTTTCTGAACGTGGTATTTATAGTTTTGGTGTTTTTTTTCAATGTTTCATTTTGGTGTATTTTTATTCAGATTTTATTTTGAAATACTTTATTTTTTTTAATGCACTAAAAATGAAGACGTTTAGTTTTGTTGCATGTTTGAATCAGAGTTTTCAGATGATGATAATCGAACCCGCACAAACACTCGACATGAGGATGAACTCGACTGTCTCTGCAGGTTTTGAGGTGGACGGTATCCATGAAGCCTCAGACCCTGTGGACGCCGTCAGGAAGGCGGAGGCCATTTTTATAGGTGAGTGAGGTTGACGGTTCGAATCCTCCTGTCTCCAGCTGTCCTCTGACGCGGCTGTGATTCCCTCTGTGGTGTTTCATTCAGGTGTGAACTGACTTCCTGTTGTTGTTTTCAGGAGGAGGAAACACTTTCCGTCTGTTGAAGAGTCTCTATGAGAACCAGGTGGTGACGGAGATCAGGAAGCGAGTCCTGGAGGTGACGCCGTCAAAGAGAACTTTTATTGAGTTATAGTTGTGGGTTCAGTCAGAGTCTGTGGAGGTCTCAGTCTTCTCCTGCCCCTCCCCCTCAGGACGGCGTCCCCTACATGGGCTCGAGCGCCGGCACCAACGTGGCGACCGTCAGCATCAACACCACCAACGACATGCCCATCGTCTACCCCCCCTCCTTCTGCGCCATCGGCCTCGTCCCCTTCAACATCAACCCGCACTACCTGGACGCCGACCCCAGCAGCCGCCACATGGGGGTCAGTCGAAAATCCTCCGAGTCTGTTTGGATCTGGTCTCGTGAAAAGATCAAATCAGGGTTCTGTTTCCTTCACGGAGCGCTCTTCTTCTCATAAACCTTCTCCGTTCATGATAATCAAACCATGGAGCTGATTAATTCGCTCTCTCTGATTGGTCGATTTTCTCTGGTATCAGTCTGGGTCGTTATCAGTCGCCTCTCTGTCCTTTATCCTCCTGAAACTGAAGCTAAAGTTTTAAACACTCGTCTTCATAAATCTGCGTCATCAGTCTGTGAGGGGCGGAGCCTCGGTGTTGGCGTTTGTTGGTCTGACTTGCCGTGTTTTCCTGCTCCTGTCTGAGGAAGTGGCGAACATGTGAGACCGGCTGAGTCAGCAGACTTCAGACGTTTGTCACGTTCAGGTTCTGATTGGAGGACAGACGCAGAGTCATGAATAATTTCACCTCAGACTCTCAGATCCTCTTTTTTTAAAGGTTGTTTTTTTTTCAGTTTTCAGATTTTTTATCCTCGTTTATTTGTGAGTTTTTACTTTTTCATGACCTCTGTAGTTGTCTTTGTTTCTGTGTCCTTCAGTTTGGACCTTCAGGTGTGGAGGGGGGACTGGAGGACACAGACTGTGGTCTCAGTCTCTGATTAGTAACGTCTTATTAACTTATTATATTAAATATCTGGACACAAAAACAGAAGAAGAAGAACAGTTAGGAACAGGGCTGTGGATCTGCAGACATCTAATACTGCCTGGATCCTGATCCTGATCCTGATCCTGATTGCTGCACAGCTGTTACTGTTTGTCATTTCTGTTGTTGTTGTAGACGCTCATGTTGACGTCAGTAATGTTGTTGTTGTTTATGTTACTCAGGAGACCAGAGAGCAGAGGATCACTCAGTTCCATGAAGAGCCCGACACCCCGAGTGTTTTGGTGAGAACAGCCCGACCCAGAACTTTCTGATTCTGTTTCCTGATGTCTGAAATAAACGTGTGTGTGTTTGTGTGTGCGTGTGTGTGTCTGTGTGTGGTCAGGGTCTGAGGGAGGGCTCCATGCTGCTGGTGGAGGGAAACAAAGCCACCCTGCTGGGAACCACCAGAGCCAGACTGTTCACCAGGTAACGTGCACGCACACGCACACACGTGCACACACACATTCAAAACTATAACTCACCTGCTCTAGACCTGGAGACGGTTACCATGGCGATGTATCAGGTCAAAGAGGACCCTGTTTAATTAAATGTTTCTGTTTTTGTGTTTCAGGGGGAAACATTCAGTGGAGTACAGCCCAGGAAGTGACCTCAGCTTCCTGCTGACTCAGTGACCAATCAGAGTGAAGCGGAAAAACCAGCCAGAGTTTCAGTCTTAAAGTCTTTTTTTTCTGAATAAATATTTTTAAAGAAAAAGACGTTGAGTGACGAGGATTTCTGATGATACTTCACAAACTAAGTTTTGGCCTAAAGTCAAACTTTTACTTTCCTGCAGAACCAAAATAATCCAAATATGACGGTAAAATGTGAATAAATCAGTTTATTTCAGCTGGACAGTGAGTTTACGGTGTTATAAACAGTGAAATTTGATCCTCCTGAAGACAGAAAAACTGACAGGAAATAAACTTTAGATGGAGAAACGTTCAGACAGTGTTTGAAATAAAAACCCTAAAGATAAAAATGAAAACAGACGGACAGACGGCAGGACTGACGTCAGACCAGGATCAGGGTTTTTATTTTACTGAGACTTTAATAAACCAGATTTATTCTCCTGTTTGTATTTAGAGTCACTTTACACTCAAAAATCACCAAAACCAGTCCAAAGACTTCGTCTCGGTCAGTCCTGCTGAAAGTCTCAAACTGATCTGCTGTCAATAAAGATTAATAATCCTTAAAAAAACTTTAACAACAGTGCAGAAAAACTCTGTGAATGAACTAAAAAACAAAGTTTTTATAACCTTTAAGTTATTAAAGAGGAAAACTGAACATTTTTGACTGAAACTTGAAGTTAAAGTCAAAAATGAAACTCTGAATGTTTGAAACTGAAGAAGAAAAACACGTTTTCATGTTCCTCAGATTCTTGCTTTACTGTACTTTTAATGAACTCAAAGGTCAAAGGTCACTGATCAACTATTTTTAGAAATATTCGTCAACAGATCGGAACATGACGACAGCAGTGAAACTACGTCTAAATGATGAAACTTTCACTCGCTGCTAAAGAGAAGAAACCGCTCCGCTCTTAAACTCGTCGAAGCAGCAGTGAAACTTTTTTATCGCCTTAAATTTAATAAGAAAAATAAACAGTGACACCTGGTGGTAAGAAAGAGTACTACAGAAAACTAACTAGCTGTGATAACTAACCTCAGAGTGCTGTTAACAGGATTATTATTATTATTGTTCTCTTTAAAATGATCATCAACCTCAAACATTATTAAATCATGGTGCAGACCCAATATGGGCGAATTCATAGCAAAGTTTTTTTTCTTCTTTTTTTAATAAATTCACTTTCTCTCTCAAACAGAAAAACAGAAGAACAGAAAACCAGACGCCCGCTCGCAGAAACTTTCTCTGTTTCAAACTGAACATGAGGAGAAGTTCGACCGTCTGACAGAAACATCATAAATAAGTGGAGCGAGTCTCAGTGCAGGGCGGGAAAACCAACAAACGAAACTGACCTACTGTTCGCTAAGCCCCGCCCCCCTCGGTTACTGTTGCCATGGCTCTCAGTTACAGTGCGTACAGCAGATCTTCATCGGAGATCAATCAGGATTTTTGACAACAATGAAGAAAGTCGGTGAAACTCTAAAACTTCTCTTTTATTTTTGTGTTTTAATAACGAGTCAGCTGACGGAGATTAACGCCGAGTCGCCGACAACGACGAAGATGTTGGTGCAAGAGTGGAGTCTCTAATTCATTAAATAAAGTCACAATGTTCCTTAATAAATTCGTTAAGTTAGAAAAATGGAGTAACTGTGTTTCTTATTCGGTCAAAGGTTAGCCTCATAAAAACTAAAAACACATACTTCGCGGTTTAATCGAACGACACGATGACTTTGATCGAATTTCACGTCTTCATGTTTGTTTTATTTTTTCCTTTTCTCAGATGTTATCCCGACTAAACGATCATCTGATTTAATGCTAATGGGCTAAAAGGCTAATACTCATGTGAACAGCTGTGATTGGACATCTCCAAAAGGGGGAGGAGCTTAGCGAACAGTTCGTTTTCTTATCTTAAATTTGTTTATTATTCTGATTAAATTTGATTGATTTTCCGCCCAAACATCATTTTCTCAAACAAACTCTCGTCGTACTGAAATGAGCCGGACCAGTTTTTAAAATTATTAATATTCTGAAAATACAAAAAAAAAAAAATGAAACCTTAAAAACACCAAACAGTCATCCCAAAACAAACCAGCTCCCCAAACACCCAAACAGAAGGAAAGCGAAAGTCTCAGGGTGGAAATCTATAATATAATAAATCTGTAACACTAATCAAACCACCTCCATCCAAAAATGAACACCTGAACACACCTGACACTCAGATATTAAAGGCTGTGTTTATTCTCAGTGCGTGTTCGCTTAGCTAGCTAGCATAGCTTTGTTGTTTTGCAGATTTTAAATAAGTTACGTGTGCTTTTACAAAACTATTTCACTGATTTCAAACCGTTTTCTTTTTTATGCAAACACACCGTAACACCGAGTTAGACTTTTCTCCACTTCTGTAGTCTATAAGCTGGGTCAATAAACTTCTACTGTAGTTAAAATGAAAAGGTAAAGGTGTTTTTATTGAGCCGAATTATCAATAAAATAATGATTTTGTTAACAGGTATGGATTTATGTGCTGTTGAGTTAGTATATGTGAACAAGAGCACAGTAAAGTTAAATCAGCTAATTTTCCAATGAGGTTCTGTTACTAAACAGAACTACACCATGATCTACTGAGGTTAGTACATATAGGGTCACAGACATAGTACTAGACACCAAACATCTTTTTAACTTTGATTAATTTCTTTAACAAAGAGACTAAACACAACTCACCTACTCTCTTCCAGCAGACGCTTGTTCATAGTGAAACCTCAGGCCAGTCCATTACAGACTACAGCGGGGTGTCGCAGCTCAAGGAAGAACATTTATGATCATTTCTTCATTCATCTCGAGGGGGTGTCTAACTCGGTGTTACGGTGTGTTTGACTCTAAATTAATTTCACACTGGATTATCTCTTTAAAGCTCCTGTGAGGATCGTTAGGTCTGTGGCGCCCCCTTGTGGACAAAATGGTCACTTTGTTAATTCGTTAAAAATGTTTGTCCTGGAAAAATGTAAATACTGTTTCTTTGCAGTTTGTTGTTGGTGACACTGACCCCTGCTGGCCTCCCACAGTAACTGGTTTACTTCAGTCAGTCTAACAGAGGCATCAGCATCATTTACAGCCTGTTTCCTGACCGTCCTCACGGTCCTCACAGGAGCTTTAAGTGTGTTCGGACCCTCAGATCAGACACAGATAACAGAGTGAAACCTTCTTCTCTCGGTTCCTCAGCAGTTTTGGACTTTTGAACTTCCTGACTTTGACTTTTGGGAGTAAATGTGCAAATCAAACATGAGGCTGAACTCCTCGGGGTGTGCTGCAGACGTCTGCCTCCTTTCAAAGTTTGGACTCTTGACATTTTCAGGGAAGACGCTCAGACGGTTAAAGGAGCAGTTCAACATTTTGAAGCAGTGATTTCTTTAGGATGAAGCTGAACGAACTGAAATGATCGAACCGCCAACATCAAACTCATAGAGAGAAGAAGAAGACGTTTATCCCCTAAGTGTTGAAATGCTCCTTTAACTCTGAGCAGCTGATCTCTGCAGCTTTATGCAGAGTTAATTTGGCACAAACAGAAAAATATCAACGAGAAATGACCCTCAGGAACCTCAAACCAGAACCAGAACCAGAACCTTTAGCTCCCGCTCTACAGTGAATACAGTGAAATTCTCCCCCCGGCCCAGTTACCCTGAATTGTTCAGTACAAACAGCAGGGGGCGCTCTCCTAAGCGTCAGTGTTTCCGTTCTCCTCCGGCTGCAGCTGCTCCTTCTCCATGCTGTCGTCCTGCGGGGGGCGCACTCGGTTAAAGAAGCCCAGCTGAGGAGGAGGAGGAGAAGAAGAGAGGAGGTGAACGAAGTGAGCAGAAACACGTGCGTGTGTTTGTGTGTGTGTGTGCGTGTCTGACCTTGTACATGATGAAGATGAGCAGAGCCAGCAGCAGAAGTCCGGCTAACACGGCCAGAGCCACCACCCATCCTGGGACCGGCTGAGGAGGTTCTGCGACCCACATCACCGACAAACTCACCTGAAAACACACACCAGCATCAACACACCGACACCTTCACACACCTGGACACAAACAAAGCTCGACACAGTCCGCTCAGGTGTGTGTGTGTGTGTGTGTCTCACCGTGGTGCTGGCCGACGGCAGCTCCGACACCAGGTTCTTGTACGGCATCTCGATGACGGAGAAGGAGGCCGTGGATCTGACTGTGTACGAGCGGTTCTGATTCTCCGTCTGAGGAGAAGGACATGAGCGTGAACACACACCTGTGGACCTGAGGGCGCTGAGAGTGTGTGTCTGTCTGTGTGTGTGTGTGTTTGTTGTTGTGTGTTTACCCGGAGGAAGTTGTTGACGGTGAGTCGTGAGTAGATGAAGAGGATGGCGTTTTCCCTCCTCTCCAGACGACCGACCTGACACTTGAGCCGCAGACACTGTGCAGTGGTGCAGTCCTACACACACACACACACACACACACACACACACACACACACAGACACACACACACACACACACACACACAGATGATCACTGCACAGTCAGATTATCTTGTTTTTTGTGTAGCGGTCAGTCTTCACCTGTTTCCTGCTGTTTGACCTTTTTTTACCTTTCAGGACACCGTAGTTTAACCGCAGAAGAATAACACCCTCCATGACACTCTCTGTGTGTGTGTCTGTGTGTACGTGTGTGTGTTTGAGTGTGTGTGTGTGTGTGTGTGTGTGTTTGAGTGTGTACCAGTGTCTGCAGTTCGCTCGATTTCTCTCTCGCTGCCTCCAGGTCTCTCTTGGTGCGGTGTCGCCCCTCAGTGTCTCGATCGCCGGTTGGTGTAACGCTGGTGTTCTTCGTGGAGGTCAGAGGGTTCTGAAACACACACACACACACACACACACACACGCGCACACACACACACACACACACACACACACACAGTAATATGATTTTAAAAGTGACTCTCAGTCTGATGTTGATGATTTTCCGCCAAGTTTACAGAAATGACCCCTCCCCTTATTTAAAGAGACAGTAGTCGTTTTATAACCCCTCCCCTTATTTAAAGAGACAGTAGTCGTTTTATAACCCCTCCCCTTATTTAAAGAGACAGTAGTAGTTTTATGACCCCTCCCCTTATTTAAAGAGACAGTAGTCGTTTTTAGACCCCTCCCCTTTTTAAAAAAAAAAACAGTAGTCGTTTTATAACCACTCCCCTTATTTAAAGAGACAGTAGTCGTTTTATGACCCCGCCCCTTATTTAGAGACAGTAGTCATGTTATAACCCCTCCCCTTTTTTAAAGAGACAGTAGTCGTTTTTAGACCCCTCCCCTTTTAAAAAAAAAAACAGTAGTCGTTTTATAACCACTCCCCTTATTTAAAGAGACAGTAGTCATGTTATAACCCCTCCCCTTTTTTAAAGAGACAGTAGTCGTTTTTAGACACCTCCCCTCATTTAAAGAGACAGTAGTTGTTTTTAGACCCCTCCCCTTATTTAAAGAGACAGTAGTCGTTTTATGACCCCTCCCCTTTTTTAAAGAGACAGTAGTCGTTTTATGACCCCTCCCCTTTTTTAAAGAGACAGTAGTCGTTTTATGACCCCTCCCCTTATTTAAAGAGACAGTAGTCATTTTATAACCCCTCCCCTTTTTTAAAGAGACAGTAGTCGTTTTATAACCCCTCCCCTTATTTAAAGAGACAGTAGTCATGTAATGACCCCTCCCCTTATTTAAAGAGACAGTAGTCGTTTTATAACCCCTCCCCTGTTTTAAAGAGACAGTAGTCGTTTTATGACCCCTCCCCTTTTTTAAAGAGACAGTAGTCGTTTTATGACCCCGCCCCTTATTTAAAGAGACAGTAGTGTGTTTCTCTCACCGTCACGTTGAGCGGGTTGAGCTCCATGTCGGTGGTGCAGTTGATCCGTCCCTCCGTCTCGTAGCTGGTGATGTAGAGCAGCGAGTCGTTCTTGTAGTGATACGGCCACTCCACCTCCAGAGACGCCTTACTGAAGGTGCTGGGCCCGCTGTTCAGCAGCTGAAACATAGATCCATGATTCAGAACCTGACTCGACCCGGTTAGAACATGGACCATCAGACATGATGACCGGACTAGTCTGAGAACACCAGGACTGGGCCAGTACCATCAGAACCACAAACACAGTCCACAATCAGAACCAGCACACTAGACTGGTACAGAGCTGCAGAACTTGAGGGTGCGTTTGTGCCTGAAAGTCCATCTGATTTTTCTTCATTATTAACAGGACTGAGCAGAACCAGAACCAGAACCACACTAGGACTTCTGTCCCCTTGTTTCCACTAGGACGTCAGCAGACAAACTGTCAGGAAAAGAGTCCAACTCAGACCCTGATCAGAGTCTGTCCTCAGTCCAAGAGTCCGACTCAGACCCTGATCAGAGTCTGTCCTCAGTCCAAGAGTCCGACTCAGACCCTGATCAGAGTCTGTCCTCAGTCCATGTGGTCAGCTGGACCAACAAACCACACAGGAGCTACACCTGTGAACAGGGACTCCACGGGGTCTCACCTCGTAGACGTGGACTATCTGAGGGCCCAGGTCGTCTCCGGTCACAGGAGGATCTCGAGGTTTCCAGTTAGCGATGGGAAGAAGAACCTGAGTGGGAGACGAAGACCTGAAGAAGAAAAACATGTGGTTGTTTTTAGATGATAGAAAACTGGATCTTTAATCCTCCGTCTGACATTTCTGCTCTGAGGAAGTATGAAGTGTATTCAGTGTGTGTGTGTGTGTGTGTGTGTGTGTGTGTGTGTGAGAGTGTGTGTTTGTGTGTGTGTGTTACCCTCTGATGGAGACTTTGGCGAGGACGGCGAGTTTGGTGACGCTGGACACTCTAGGACTGGTGTTGTTGTAGGGGTTTGAGCTGAAACACAGAAATGGACACTCAGGATAAAAACACTGCAGGAAAATCCTGATTTATACTTTTCAGTGTTTATAAAACCGCCTGAGACCCAGCTCTGTAAAAATCATATTGTAATGTCAGTAGGTTTGTTCCTGCAGTTCCAGAAGCAGCCACAGGGCGGTGCTGCAGTCCTACATCAGTTCCTGACTGTTTCAGACTAACCACAGAGAAGTTTCAACACTCCGGTTTCTTCAGGAGACAAAGTTTGACGATCAGGAACAAAAGCTCTGAAATATTTAAATATGAGAGTTTTTATATTTAACCGCCTGAGCGAAGAAGGAGAAGGAGAAGGAGAAGAAAAAGGAGGAGAAGAAGGAGGAGAAGAAGAAAAAGAAAAAGGAGGAGGAGAAGGAGAAGTGTGAGCTGTCAGTGAAACCAGCTCTAACCTGTCATTAACATACCTCCTCTCCTCCTCCTCTCTCTCTCTCTCTCTCTCTCTCGCCCACACACACACTGACACAGTAAACAGTGTGTGTGTGTGTGTGTGTGTGTGTGTGTGTGTGTGTGTGTGTGAGAGAGAGGAGAGTCTGAGCTGTAATGAAAGTAAACAGAGCGCTGACTCATCACACTTCTCCTGAACCAGGTCTGGATTCTGGTTCTGGTTCTTGGTTCTGGTTTATTCGGAAGTTTTTCTGTTTTAATTTTCTAAGAGGACGAACAGTTAAAGTTTATTTTCAGTCTCTCACAAACGTTTGTCCGATCCGTCGTCACATGTTCTAAACTCTAAACTCTCACAGCGTCGGTCTTTGTGGTCAAACATTCACACATTTCATGTCGTTTTCACACAACATCCAGTCAGTGAACACATTTACACAAGAGCGACACCTCCCAACAAAACGATGTTTTTGTTTTATTTATGAATGTTAACTCACAACATCCCATAATAACAATAGTCTAACCCTCAGATACAGAATAAAAACCTCTGCTGCTGTAATGAGACCAGATCAAAATCAATCAATCTGATCAGAAACTAACAACTGAATCATCGACACACAGATGGTTTATGTCGGGTCAACTGGTGCGAAAACAGCTGATTCTGGTCTGACTTAGACTCAGAGTTCAAAGGTTAAAAGGAGGAGTGTGAGGAGAGATGGACAGAAGAAGACAAACGCTGAAGTGTCTGAACGAGGAAGAGGAAGAGGAAGAGGAAGAGCGAGAGGCCGAGGGAGGAGAGCAGTGAGAGGAGCAGAAATGCTTCTGAATGTGAACGTTTCCTGTGGACA